TGCTCAATAAAAACAGCAGCCAAGATGTCGTCTCTCTTTTTTTTGTTGTCTTTGAGGCTCATCTTGGCAATGACCCAGACCCCAACCAATTGCTTGGATTGCCTGACACTTGAATACGACCCACCCACTCGCCGCTCAGCTCCACTTCAGTTCGATCGACAAAGATGAATGAAAATTGTTGTTGTGTTCAATTTATCGCTTAGTTTTTCTCATTTGCCACGCGCCAAGGTACTTGAACCGAGGCGAGTCAAGTGTTATGCGAATAGCTGCAAATATCCATTTAATGACTTTGACTACTTCAAACGTGTCATGCGAGCAGGTTTCAGCCACTGCTGCTGCTCCAACTCCTGCTCCTTTTCCTTCTGGTTTCACAGTTACAATTATCATGGCTAATGCATGTGAATGTCATGGCTAATTAAATTAACTTATCCACTGTCAGCGAAATTGAAATGAAATTTTCAATTCTGCTGAATTATGCCGTTCCCGTGGCTAAAAATAATGCATTTATTGTATGTGGTTTATAGTTGACATATTTTCACAGTTCATATGAATATCATGTTTTCAAATGCAATTATGGAACACACACACACTCATACATGCATATAAGTGTATATATAATATTCATAATTATTTGTCAATTGTCAACGTTTTTTATTGCTGCATCTGCATGCTCGTATGAGTTAATGCAAATGTTCCTTTAATGTAATTATTCAGCGCATTTAGCCCACGGCCTAAAAAATAAGAACAACAACAACAATAACAAAGGCAATTAAACAATGTGATTAATGCACGAAAATCCATTATGAAGCAATGAGAACGAGGCATAACCAGCTGCTGAATACGCGCTCACAGTGCAAAAAGTTGATGATTTATGAAAAATGTTCCTATCAAAGAGCATTGCATCATTAGTTTATCAATAGTTTTTATTATTAATTAGTGCAGCTCAAATGTTTATCAATTTAATGGGTTTTTTAAATGGGAAAATCACATCACTTATAAACATTTCTATAGCTGAAGGTCAGCCGTCATTTGAGAGCTCAAAAGCTGTGGTCGATAAGGTTTGTGCGCCAATCTATTCACAGTAAAAACCTCGAATCGCAGCTGTGATAAGTTGTGGTCTTTTCTCAATTTGCCTTGGGCGTAGCTATAGAAATATTAATCTAGACATGCTTTAAACATATATCGAGCATATTGTAGATCTTGAAGTCGTCTTGAAATCTCTCTTAAATTATTATTATAATGCTCCATTTATAACTTAAAAGATGAGCGTATCTAGATTCCACATATTGAATTATATTCCACATTTCCACGCTGTAGTTTCAAGTTACAAGCGTTCCAGCTGACAAACGTACATTGCACCAAACCAATATGCTCAGCTTTCAGTTTGGAAAAGAGCTATAAATATATTGAAAGCTGGTTGCCAACGCAACATCAGTCAAGGGGCCGAACGGCAAACCTTTTTGTTGTTGGGGTCAACCACGAAATATATATATATATATATATATATGTATATATATATACAGATATATATACATATATATGTATACAGACATGTATATAACAATATTGCTTACATATCGATGTGTAAGGGTTGTTGGGCACACAAGGCGTATGGTTGTTATTGTAGCTGCTGCTGCTGCTGTGGCTGTTGTTGCTTATTCATGCATATGCATATGTCGGAAATTGTAACGATTATACGCCGGACACACACAGGAAACGGCGTAAATCCCCCCTTTAACACAGTTAACCATTTGAGCCATAGACACGCGTTCTCTCCTTAGAGCCATCGAACATTATTAGCGTTTATTGGTGCTCTGCTCATCAGCTGCCGTGGCATGGCGTGACAAAGCGTGTCGCAATATTTAATGTTGTTTCGATGTCGTTAGCTCTTTAATGAAATTTGCAATGCTCAATCTGAAGTCGCGTCTTGCTTGGCGCTGTTGGCTGTAATGCATTTTTAATTAAAACAAATATGAAGAAGATAGATTGCAGACATAAATCAGTTGTTAGCGAATACTCTCAGAGCGGCGGGCGTTGCAAAATTGAAGCCAAACAAAGTCATTAAAAGTTTGCCGTGACTTTTGCAGTTGCGTATAGAAAACTTCGCCTTCAAAACTGATGCAGTCGAGTGAGTGATAGGAAAATACAGAGACAGACAGTGAACTATATATATATATATTAAAAAGAGATAGGTAGAGCGAGAGGCAGGGGAGCTGGTCTTATTTGCATCTGAAGGTAACTCCACCCACCTGCGTTTTCGAGCTGAGAAAGCAGCTCATTATAAATTTGTTGATGCTGCATATCTCTGGCGCTGGCTGTGGCTCTGGCTGGCTTCACTGCCTGGCAGGATGTGCTGCAGCTCGTTTCCTGCCAGCTGCTTCTGCACGAAGTCCTGCTGCCTTGGCCATATCTGTAGCATTTTATGCAGCAGCAGCAGCAGCAGCAGCACCAACAGCGGTAACAGCAGCATCAGCAGAAGCGAAAGCCATCTCTTTGGCATTTCATTCTCGTCGTCGTCGTCGTCGGTTTTAGCTATGATGTGGGTTTACGAGCGCCAGGAACTTGTCTAAAAATCACGCATAATTTATTTACCATAAACAAGATGAAGAAACAAGCAAAGTCAAAAGTGAGGGCGGCCGCAGCGGAGCTGTCCTTGGGCCACCCAGAGGGACGATGGACGGATGGTTGGTTGGAGCTCGTTAATGTTGCGAAAAGTTGTTGCCTGTCATCGTTTCACTTTGCCACACATGTGCTGCTGCAATATTACGTATACGCAGAGATTGGCTAGCTCGCATTGCTGTTCAAATTATGATGATGATGCTGCTGCTGTTGCTGCCATAGACTGTGCAACATTGTAATACGACATACAAAATGCAAGCGTTGTGAAAAATTGGACGCAAAAAATAACAACAACAGCAGCAGGGCAGAGCAGGAGGTAGGTAAACGAGCTGAAACTAAAAAGCGAGCGCAGCAATAAAAATCGTTTTATCTTCATTAGAGGCTAGCAAAGATATCACAGCTAGCAAACATGCAGAGCCCTGCCTAAAGGGATTGTAGCTCGGATAACTGAAGTCTGATCAACGAATGGTATACCTTTCTGCAAGACAAGCTCATAGGGATCACTATTACAGAAATTGGGTCACACAGAGGGAGAGGAACTCAAGCAACTCACCGAAACAAGTCAAGCCAAGCCAAGCCACCAGCCCACTCAGACAACAAGCTAAACAACATGAAGTCTCTGCATGCATTGAATAATAAATGCAATGAAAATAAAATAAAAACTCGCAGAAGAATACTGAAACAGCGCTTGAGCTTGAGTCAGCAGCGAGAGCGAAAATAAAAATGGAAATAAAAATAGAAATAAAAAAGAAAAGATAAAGCGCTTGATGCTGGGATAAATGGCAGATGCATGTAGACACGAACAGGAACTGCAGCACCTCAAGGATAAACAGTTGAGCCACCAAGTGGATACATGCAGGTGCTGCATGTGGGTGGGTGGGCAAACAAGTTAAGGGGGCTGCAACTACCCCAAAGCAAACGAAGCGCAGCTCGGCTTTTAACTGAAATGCAATAGCAGTTAGAGCAGACCAAACCAGACCAGGCCTGGCGTGGGCTGGCCAGGCGCTGCTGGCATAATACGCATGAATCCCCACGGCATCGTAGATATATAGCTAGATAGATATAGACGATTAGGCTAGTGGCAGAGTACATCAATGTAAACACATACCAGTTAGCCTTCGCTTGCCCGTTTGCCGTTTACGATTCATTGACGGAGGGCAAAGGTTAAACCCATTTAAGCGACAATTGAGCGCAATTAAGGCGAGCGAAAACACTGAAATCATTTTAAATGTTAACTGGCACATACACCAGCCACAAGCTATGATTATGATTTAATCATGAGGATATCGTAGATATAGAAACATCAATAATACTGCGCTGAAATTAGGAATGTATGAAGCAATGTTAAGGCTGACCAAATTGGAGCTATATCAAAAATAATTGACATAAGACAAAAATGGTTTATTATTTCATCTGATCTGATCTGATCTCTGTTATCTGATTTCAGTTTGAAGGAATGTTCAGTGCATGAAGTAGAAAATCCTTTAAATCCTTGCCTTGGCTGCTTTGCCTTTGTTGAAGTTCGGGATTTCTAATTCTTATTCAATAGATTTTCATTTTTTTAAAGCCAACTGAAATCAACTCTTGACTGATGTTTCTAATGCCGATCGAATGGTTTAACACTTGCACTTTGCTTATTGACAACTAAGTAAATAATTCATTAATTGTTTTCAATTATTTGCAAACGTTCGACAGATGTTAGATGATTCATGATCTAATGACAAATTATATTAAATATATATCAACAGCTGCGCATGTTAGCGATAAGTCAAATGGTTGCGGAGCTATGATTTTCGTACCTTGTTGTGCAGACTTTAATATATGAGTAAATGCTGTCTTAAATTTACTTTTATTATTATTAATTAATGAAAAACATGTCTAGTTGAATTTATGAAATAAAAAATCGATTTTGCTGTCCACTCGAATCAGAAAAGCAATTAAATTCGATTGAAGGTCTGTGCGAAAAGTATTTTAATATACTTGATAGACTTACGCAGCAAGCATTACCTTTTATAAAATACATATATATATATATATAGACTATATACATACTACACATATTGTTTTATGTGGCTGCAGTTTTGATGTGCGAGCGCAAAACTGAAAGAAAGAAAAAAAAAGGGAAAAATTTATTGAAAAATATTTGCATGAATGAAGTTGTACAATGGGCGCCCACACATATACGCACAGGTGTGTGCAAATATGCAGATGCGCAGTTAAAGGTAGAGTATTGAAAAACGGGGAGTGGCTGGGCGCAAGGAGAGACGAGTAACTTAACGAGCCGCTGCACACAGATTGATTCTGTTTCTTGCGCATTTGCGAATGCACATTTTGATTAATGCTTGCGTTGTTTTATTTTTATCTTGCTTTTGCTTTTGCAGGCGAAACGCATACAGAGCAATGAGCTGGCCGCCATCAAAGTTATTAAGCTGGAGCCATCCGATGACATACAGATCATCCAGCAGGAGATTTTCATGATGCGCGACTGCAGGCACCCGAACATCATTGCCTACTACGGCTCCTATCTGCGGCGCGACAAATTGTGGATCTGCATGGAGTTCTGCGGCGGTGGCAGCCTGCAGGACATCTATCAAGTGACCGGGCCACTAACTGAACTGCAAATCGCCTACATGTGCCGCGAAACGCTGAAGGGCCTGGAGTATCTGCATCAGAAAGGCAAAATGCATCGCGACATCAAAGGCGCAAATATTTTGCTAACCGAAAACGGCGACGTGAAGCTAGCCGACTTTGGTGTCTCGGCGCAGATAACAGCCACGATTAACAAGCGAAAGAGTTTCATAGGTGAGTGCAAACGAAACCATATATGATATAGTATAAGGATTCAGCTATATTTCTAGCAATTTGTGTATCTATTCTGGCTTAAGCTGCGTATGCTTAATGTAGTTGCTTTTCTACAGCCGTTTAACTGCTTGCATGCGTTTATAATAATAATCCCAAGAGCTTCAAGATAATGTGCAAATTTATTGAGGTTTTATTAGTGCAGCGTCCACACTGCGTATGCGTAATATAGTTGAATTTCTATTGCATTGAATTGAATAATATATTTAACAACTTAAATGAAATGTGTTTATGTTTGTCCAAATAGATAAATTAAATAATAATCTTATAAAGCAGATCAAATAATAATTTGTGTGAAAATATTCAATTAGTCTACGCTGCGTATGAGCGATGTCGTTTGTTTGTCTGCACGCATATATGAAATACTTGTTGCCGACAGAGCTGCATTCCATAATTCACTTAAGAACTTTATCAATTTATAATTTCTTTGTAAATATTCAAATTGTATTTGTGCGGCGCTTACGCTGCGTATGCGTGATATTGCTATTTTAGCCAGCAGCTGCGACTGGCCCGAGTTGTTTTGGCAACGTTTTACTTATTTATACGCTTAAATAGAAATTTTCACAGGACACAGGCTTGGGCTTTGGCTGTGGCCTGCTCTTGTTGTTGTCTGTTGTCTGCTGTCTGCTGCCTGGTTGCAAATATTGGCTGCTAACGAATGCGCAAACTGTTGCAACAGCTGCGCTAGCTGCGATTTATGCAAATGGCATAGAGCGCTTTTTATGACTATGTACAAGTGTGGAAATGTATCTGAATAATATTTTGGCATTCTTTCCACAACAAATATGAGCGATGGAGCGAAACCAACAAACTGACAGACAGACAAGCAGTCAGACATAGAGACAGCCAGCATCGATTTGGCTTAAGTGTTTATCATTGTGTATAAATGCAGAAACAGACACGCTAGCTGACACACACTAGCACACCCGCACACAGAGAAGTGCTAAGAAAAGGACTCTTTGACAGGATTCTGACAGTAACCGCAATTGCTTTTCACGCTTTTAAACTCTTGCACAACAGCAGTCACAAAATAAACAGAAAAAAAACAAATAAGCAGAACGAAAAAAAGAGAACTGAAAGAAAGAAAGAAAGAAATTTCCGTGTACTGCAAAGTGATAGACTAGAAAATACCACCTAAACAGAAAGTTAGACAGAAATACATTTGCGGCACTAGTTGCTTACAGGGTATCGGAGAGAGTGCCAACAGCGTGTAGAACAAGCAATGGAAAATTAAATAAATTGCCAAGCAAAATAAAGAACTCAACTGAGCTGAAGTAATAAGCATAGCAATGCAGTTTAGAAGAAACAATAATCACTTGAGTAAAAAAGTGCCAAACGAACGACACAAATTGAGCATGATTTAGAAAACAAAACGAGAGACAGACAGAGAGAGAGAGAGAGAGAGAGAGGGGTAGTGAATAATTTAAAGGCATGTGAAAGAATTGAATTTAAAAGGAAAATATCAAATGCAGACATGGCACAGGCAGACGAACAACCGAGGCGCAGGTAGCAAGGTACTTAGGCAGGTGGTCGAGCTGGACAGTTACCGATTCAGGCATTGTTGGCTGCCCGCTGTGTGGCGCGGCTTCAGCTCCCACAGAGCTTTCATTCTGTTGCCAAACTCAGTGGGAAAAGAAAGTAATTTCTTAAAAATGTCCCTTTTGGGGCTTGCCTGCCGGCTGGCCGTCTTATTTGTGCGACTTCTTCTTTTGTTGAACATTCGAGTCTTGCATGACTGCCACCACCAACATGTGCCGCCCCGTGCCACCGGCTCTCATATCAGCACTAATAGATTCTTTTTGCGGGACTGCGCTAAGCAGCTTTTGGCTCAAGGCAGGGCTTCGCTTTAAGGTTGAAGCAACCAACGGGTTGTATACGTAATTTATATGTAAATGTTTACTTATCAGGCAAGCGTGCAGCAGAGGTGGCAGGCCGTAAGCCTTGTCAATCTTATTATAATTCCGAATTTAATAGAATATTTTTTTTACACAACTTCAACTGCGCAAGTCTAAAGCGGAATTCAGATCAAGAGCATTTTGGCTATTGGGAAACTATGTGCCGAGCCCAAGTATGCGAAATGGATGAGTAGGCTTTTGTTTGGTCATTTTAAATCTGTGTTGACTGTGCGCTGAGCTCAACAGTTAATTAAGTTCTCAAACTCTCCCGGCGAGTGCACTTAATGAAAACTTTTTTGACTTCTGACCGTTTTAACAGAGGCTAAGAGGGGCGTTAATTAAATTATGACAGCTGCCTCGACGACACGCGCGCGCGCCTCTGCTAGCCCCGCCCCTTTATTATTTGCTTACTTTGCGGCTCTAAGAAGTCAATAAAGCGGGAGCGCAAGCGGGGCGGGGCGGGGCAGTGCGTCGTGGGCGTGACATTTGAGTTGTGATTGCAATAAAGACGAAGACATCGACGAAGAAGGTTTTATGTCAGCTGGGATTTATGCAGAGCTTTGCCTGCTCTTGCTGCCTGGGCCAAGGATGGGTTTAGTTTTTAATGCGTTCGTTCGTTGATGTCGTAAAAATCTCAACGCTTGCGCATAAATTTCGAGATTTGACAGCATTTGAGCTCGTTTCATCCAAACAATTTGTCGCTAATTGTGAGCGCACGATTTGATTTATGCTGTCTATAAAATGTCCTGGCAAAGTCATTAATAAAATTGAGTAATGCCTGAAGATGGACGCTAATCGTTGTTCCTCCTCCCGTCCATCCATTCCCATGCTTGCTGCACTTTCTGTGCGAATTACTGATGCCGTTTACCCAGCGAAAAAAAAGTCCCTCACATGTCAATAGCTGTGGCAGCGACCCAATGAGTGCCAGGATGCTGCCAATGACAGCCAGACAGACAGCAGCGGGTTGGGTAAGCAGCTGCTGCAAAGAGCATATGTAAGCGAGATGCAGACGATTGTCTCCCGAGTGTCTCTGTATTTGTAGTTGTGTCTGCAGTTGGCAAACAATGTTACTGTCGCTTACTGTTATCATTTCGAGTGCTCCTTCAATACACGACATTGTCGCTGTGACAAATGTGTTGATAAATACACACACACGCAATCCCTGTCTGTGTCTGCTGCTCTGTCTATCATTGTGTCTGCATATGAAACCGCAAACAGAGCAAATAAAGCACAAACACACACACACGCACACTCTCTATAGCAGACGGTGTAGCGGCTGCTGCAGGACAACGACTACAGCTCCCTGCTGATGTCTTATCATTTAATAAAAATAATCAAAAAGTGTGCTTATGTTTGTGTTTAGTATCACTTAAAAGTCAGCTGCAACAAACGACACTCAGCGCCATCAACGCCATCATCGGGGCCATTGTCAGCCTCGTTGTCACCTACTGCAGTGGCTGTCAGGCTCAGCTGACAACAGGCTGGCAACAGCCGTGTCTACATGCAATAAAGCCAAATGTGATTCTCGCCTCGACTCAACTTGACTCGACTCTCTTGCTCTTTCTCTCTTTCCCTATCGTTGTTTTGTGTCTTGAGTATTGGCGTAAGAGCTTCTAGAGCTGAAACTATTTTCGCTGTTCCTTTATTTAATGCAGAGTAACGAACATCTTAATTCCGCAATGCTTCTATTGACTAGAGAGTAAAGAGTAAGGAGTCTCTCTCTTCACTTTCTTTCGTTCTTACTCTATCTAAATCTAACTCTATCTAAATCTAAATCTAAATCTAACTCTATCTGCCTCTATCTCTATCTGACTCTATCTCTATCTGACTCTATCTCTATCTGCCTCTATCTCTATCTCTATCTCTATCTCTATCTCTATCTCTATCTCTATCTCTATCTCTATCTCTATCTCTATCTCTATCTCTATCTCTATCTCTATCTCTATCTCTATCTCTATCTCTATCTCTATCTCTATCTCTATCTCTATCTCTATCTCTATCTCTATCTCTATCTCTATCTCTATCTCTATCTCTATCTCTATCTCTAACTCTAACTCTAACTCTAACTCTAACTCTATCTCTATCTCTCTCTCTCTCTCTCTCTCTCTCTCTCTCTCTCTCTCTCTCTCTCTCTCTGTCTCCCTCTGTCTCACTCTCTCTCGCTCTCTCTCTCTCTCTCTCTATATATATATATATAACTCTCGCTCTCTCATCTAAATCTCTTCTTCTATATTTGTATCATCCCTTCCCCGTCTCTCCCTTTATGTGTTAGAGAGTATCTATTAATTGTGCAATGCCCACAGCAGACATTCAATTAACAGAATTGCTGTCACTTTTGTGTCCTCATCGCTCACTTTTTAATTAAATTGTGCGCCAACTGTGGCCACTGTTGTCACGTGTAGTCAGAGCATTTAATTCTGACTGTGGAATGTGCAATGTGGCATGCCCCAATCTCAATTAAGGCATTTCATAATTTTTTACCTTTTGTGGTGTTCTTGAATAATGATTTTATGCAAGCGTGTGTTATAGTAAAATGAATAAGCATGACTGCATAATACTCGTTCATGGCGCCAGCTCCGCTTTGAGTGTATCTGTAGAACAGATAAAACAAAGATTTTTCCTTCATTGTGGAATTTAAATAAAAAGAGAACTTATTGTTTAGTCCTAACATAGTTTAGGGCATATCCTAGTCGGGCATACCCGAGTATACCCGAATATTGGACTAGCTTATATTTTTATATGATTTATCTAACGTAACTCATCTGTATTTCTTCTGCAGGCACACCCTATTGGATGGCGCCTGAGGTGGCCGCCGTGGAGCGAAAGGGCGGCTACAATCAACTCTGTGATATTTGGGCCTGCGGCATTACGGCAATTGGTGAGCATTCATCTAGAGGAAATTGATTGCAATTGATTAAATGCTGCATTTCCTTTTCGTTTTCCTTTTCTTTTGCAGAACTGGCTGAACTGCAGCCGCCCATGTTCGACTTGCATCCGATGCGCGCCCTGTTCTTGATGTCGAAGAGCGGCTTTAAGCCGCCGGCATTGAGTAACAAAGACAAGTGGAGCCAAACGTTTCACAGCTTCATCAAGACCGCACTGACAAAGAATCCAAAGAAGCGACCAACCGCCGAGCGGCTGCTCCAGCATCCCTTTGTGCAGAGCGAGATGCCGCTCCGTGTGCCCAAGGAGCTGCTCCAAAAATACCAGAGTCCCAATCAGCAATACTACTATCTCGATGGCGACGAGGAGGTGAGTATATGCCACATGCCCCACGGACTGCCGGCGACTCTGCCCCGCAAGCCACTTGCCACCTTATTTCATTTTTTTTCTTACGTAATTTATTTGCGCTTTTAGCGCTGCTTCGCTGGCTATGCTTGCCCCAGTTATATTTACTTAGTTCGCCTTGTGCGCTGCCACAATGGCAGCAAGTCTTGAAGATTTAGTGGCCCATTAGACACCTTGAATCCTAATTTAAGGGCTCGGCTACCCAAGGCAGTTGCCTTAATCATTTTCGCTAGGCCACAAAATCAATACACGCAGCCTGCGCAGAGAGCAAGTGAAAAACTCGTTGATAAGCTAGGTTAAGGACTATGTTCTTAACATGGGTCAAGAGTTCTTAGAAGTGCTGCGATACAGTGTAATTGACGTGATCTATAGATCGATAAAGCTGCCAAAACATAAACATTATACACGACTGTGGCTTGGATTCTAGACTGCAAACTGAGTTGAGTAATTTTGGAGTAGCACAAATGGCACAGCTGCAATATACCCTAACTTTTATGAGCACGATTTGCAGCTGAAACTGAAACTAACTTCCATATTGCTGTCCAGGCTCAGTTGATCTAGAAACCGCGCAGCTGCCCGAACAACTTGCACAACTGCAATATACCCTAACTTTTATTCATTTTCATAAAAATGTAAACTAATTTGCAAATTTTTGAAGGGCAGTTGCGGCTAACTCGATTGAGATAGCTGGTAGCTTCCCGAGATTAAATTTGAAATTTAAATGAATTTTTTTAATTTTGAAGACATTTGGTTTATGCACTCAATGTCCTCGTCGTCGTTGTCGTCTAGACGTCCAAGTCCGTCTAGCAGCCGATGGGGTCTCCACACAGCCATGTCTAACAAATGCAAATTTAATGAAGGACCAATTTAAAAAGTCATTTTGTGTGAGGCTGTGCGAAGGATGTGCCTGGATGCGGCATGTCAATTCATAAATCTTCAATTTGTTTGGATGTTTTGCAAAAACTTTTCGCTGCCAGTCGCTGTCCGCGTTGCGTGGCGCTTTGCAGTCAACGTGCATTATACGTATATACATATAATCGTTATATATATATGCAAATTTTACTTAGTGCCAAGTTGTATTATGGCCAGGCGTAACGCATGGCTCAGCTCTGCTGGCAGCTTAGCTCTTTCAGAGAGAGACGCATATGATTTTGATTTATGAGATTTTATCGTAAGCTGAAAACTTTGTCACCACCGACTGTCCGTCCGTCCAGCTGGCTGTCATTAAAACTAACTTTGGCTTACTCCATTCTCTCCCTCTCGTAGACGGTGGCCGGCGTACCGCAGCGGATTCCCAGCAAAATGACGTCGCGTGCCAATGGGGTTCCGGCTCAGAACCACACGCTCAAGACAGGCAAGTAAAAAGACCCGATCTGAAATGATTAAGTGTGCGCAGTTAATAACATTTGCCCAATACAATCCACAATCCACATTCCACATTCTACAGGCATGACGACGAATTCGACGTGGTATGAGCGTTCTTCTAGTCCCGAAACGTTGCCCAGCGACATGTAAGTTGGCCCAATGCAAATCCCTAACTAAATCTTTCTACATATCTATCTGAATCGATCCAATATCAATATCGCGTTGCCTGAAACTTTGCTACAGATTTTTAGTTTTTCATTTTACATCTCTTATTTAGCAAGATTCGCATTTGCTAGCTTCTCGTTTGTTAACTGCTTCAGTTTGGATTACGTCTATAATTCACATACACACACACACACACATATATATATATATATACATATACATATTTATACAGATATTATTGTATTTAAATTGATTTTTCTCTCTATCGGGTTTTTCACACTTTTCCTTGAAATTATCTTTCCAAAAGCTGTTTAGCTGGAACAACAATTGAATTGTGCAATAAAATTTGATAAAAATTTGTTCAGCTGCATACAAAATGCATTTTTCGGCTCAATTTGAGATCATTTAATATTTAGGCACATTTTGTTCTATAAAATATTGTTTTCGTATATGAGAATTGTTGAGAGTTCATCTTAAAAGTCTTTCAAAATTTTAAATAATAATTGATTTAGTTATTAAAAACAGTTTTAGTAAAGTGCTAAAACAAACAAAAGAAAACGCAGCCACATTTTGAGTAAAGGCTGCAACTCTGAAAACTCTTTTGCCCCTATCACAATTAAGAGAAACTAAAAGTATTAAAAACTCCTTTTTCTGGCACTTTTTGTAGCATCATAAAAAACTAATTACATGTCTGTCAGTAATCTGCAATTAGGCTTAAACCTTAAGGCTATCTAATACATTTTACACATGTGTTCAACTTAATCGGATCAGATGCAGCAATTTTATTACTTTAATCGACTTTGCTGTGATGACAATGCACAATGGTGCTATTATTTATTTCGCACGTACTTATCCTTTCCCCTCTCTTTCTCACACTGCTTCTCTCTCTCTCTCTCTCTTTGTGTATTCTCATATAGTCAAAGCACAGAGCGACCAAGATGCAGCGGCACTTTTATTATGAACATGTCCTTAAGGTTAGATTAGCTTCCGTGGCGTGCCTGGCCGCAACTGCTGCTGTTGCTGTAATCATATTTATGCCTGCCACATTTTGTGGCATTGCTGTTGCGCCCTCTTCTTCTTCTTTCTACTGGCACTGCGCGCATAATGTCATTTAGCTGGCACCAGACGCCGTTTGGCCTTGACTGTGCGCTTGGCTGCTTGCTTACTGCAACTGCAACTGCAGCTTGAAATATTTTGGCTGCACGATTTCTGGCCAAGCACGCGCCTCCTGCAATTTGCTACTGCCACACACACACACACACACACACTGGGACACACTCAATTTTCTGTCGTCTCCCTTGTGCTCTGCTTTACACACGCACACGCACACGCACTGCGAGTTGAAAGTTTTTCGCGTTCGCGCTTTGTTAACTCTACGTGCTGGCAACTACTTCATGAAAACTAATTACTATTACCTGAGCTGCCTGAGCTACCTGGCTTGATGAATGCACGTTTACCAGGGCGCAGCTGCGTGTGTGCTCAAAAGTATGCTATGAAATCGTAATAGGCAGCAATCGAAGCCAGAGTTCAAAAGAACTTAACTTCTTATTGGTCAATATATATGCCTCACGGCGTGACTAATGTCTGTCATCTTTCTCGCCTTACAAATCTGCATCAGAGACACGAAATCAATAAGAAATTAATATACATTACACATACGCCCCGTGGCAGCCGCCAGGTGGCATGGCTGCCATTTGTCATTTATAAAATGATTACATTGACGACTCGCAGCTTTTGTCGAGGTGGGCGAGTTGTCATCTATGCAGATACAGCTTGGCCTTTACCACAAAGCCCTTCGCCACTCGCTCGGCTCTTTTATTGATGGCCATAAAAAGCGACAGCGTCAACTTTTATGTACTGAGAATGCTTTGAGTGCGCCAAGTGTATTGGCTGTGTGCCACGCCAACGCGATGGCTCGAATGGCGCCCGAAAAGTTTTCAACAGCCTTTTGCGACACATTTCCAAATTTTGTTTTTCTTTCTGTTGACTTTTCATGTTGTCGCGCTGAAAGCAAGCCAAGAGTAAACAACAAAGGCTCAAAAAAAAAAATACCAAAAACAATAAACATCATTAAAGCTGAAAGCGAACCGAAAAATATTAGCCCATATATTTTTTTTTTTTTGCCTTCCTTTGTTTGGTGCCTTTGCTGCTTTTTAATAAGCCAATTTAATTTTTTGTATTTTTTTTTACTTTTTTGGGTAATCCTTGAATGAAGTGCTGGAAAATGTGTTATTAAAACAAATTATGGCCCTTTGAAAATTGGCTAATGCGTTTAATTGGCCGTAACAGCATTCCCTTGCCCTTTGTGTTGTTGTCTGCCAGCTTTACAGTTACAACGGCCATTGCTACAGTTATACAAGAATCACACAAAACACCTGAAAACTAAACCAAAATTTTCAAAATTTATTCACAAATTGTTTCGAGTTTAACTTTTCTGTTTCTTCAGCCATTCTTGAGGGTGCAAATTTAATTTGATTTTTATTAAAACTGTTTCTTAACTGTTTTTTACTCTCGTTAATAATTTTTCTTTGTGTGTTATTTACTTATTTATTGTTTTTGTTTTTCTTTCCACTGGAAACTTAACAACGATTTTTCTTTTATTTTTCATTTTCTTTTTTCGTATATTTTTCGTGTTTGATTTTTGTAGGAGCCTCTTACAATATATTGATGAGGAGCTAAAGTTAAGGTAACTACACCAATAATTTCTTTTGCGCAACGAAATATAAAATAAAACCTAGATTTAGTTGGGTAACTTAGCTAAGAAAACACCGCAACACTTAACACAAACCCCCAACAAATCCCCCAAGTAACACACATACCTATACACATATATATATATATATACTAGACTTAAATATATACAGCTCAACTAACGGATAAAGTTTTGTACACTCACACATATACACTGAGTCTCTCTTTAGAGTTCAATTACTCTCTTCTTGCCACTCTCGCCCTCCCTCCCCCTTTCTGTCTCATTATTAACTGTGGCTGAGCATTTTCCTCACCTGTTTTTGTTCAACTTTCATTTTGTTCTATTAATTTACTGTTTGTTTTCTTTACAACTTTCTACAGTCTTCAGCGTTGTCGTCTCTCTCTCTCCCCCTGTCTCCCTGTCTCCCTCTACCTTTTGTTCCTTCTTTATTATGTGCACTCGCTTTTGTTTGGCCATTGTCTATTGCTAAAAGTTCTTCAGTGCGTATACGTAATATTTCTGCGCCTTTGTCTATGCTGCATATTACGCATACGCACCGCATTCGCTTGAAATTCGAAAAGACGACAACAAATCTTAACTAATCCGGGGCAACATGCGATCACTTGGCAGTCGAAAGGTCACACGCACATGGACCCTTTTTAGTGTTTATTTATGTGAAGCGTGTGCAAATGTTTGTCCGCACATTGCTTTTATAGTTATTATTATTGTTATTGCCTACTTACCAATGCCAAAGTCCAGTGCCCAGTGCCCCTGTTCATATATTTTGATTGCGCGATATTACGAAATTCAATTTCTATTGTTATTTTCTATTTGCGAAAGAAAGAAGAAAACCAAACTCACATTCGTTAACGTAATTATGCTTGGGCAGATATACTCCCTCTCTCTTACTCTCTCGCTGTCTGTCTTGCTCTGCCATTAGACGGCAAAGCTTGTTAAAATATGCGCACAAGCGTAAATTTGCCGTTTGGTAAATAACAACGAAATTCCAAATATAAAAAATAAAACATGCCAAGCTCGACCCATTGCTAACTAATTGAAGAATTGATGAATTGAGCTGTTGAGCATGCTTCAGTCGAAGCCTTTAACTGCAACAAATTGGACAGGAAAACCTTTTACCAAAAACTAATTTCAAAATGAACAGAGCAGAGTTTTCACACACACACAGAGAGAGAGGTGGAGAGGGAGAGAGCAGCAGCAGCAGCAGCAGCTGTTGCTGAGATTTTTCACTTCCTTTTGCTGCTCACTGTTTTGTGTTTGGCTTTGCTGCTTTCTTTTCTTGTGCTGCATTTGCTGCTTGCATACAAAATTCGTTTTATTTGGAAAATTGTTTGAAATTTGTTTTTTTTTTTTCTGTTTAAGAATTCAAGAATTAATTTTCTGCCATTTGCTGCATGCAGTGTGTGAGTGGATGGGTGGGTGTATGTGTGTGTGCGAGTGTGTGTGTGTGGTGCTAGTCTACTCTCTCTTTCTCTCTCTCACTCTCCCACTCTTTCTCTTGTTACGTATTTTGATATTTTTCTATTTGCTGCGCTCTCTTGTGCAAGGCAATTTTCTATGTGTGCGTGTGCGTGTGTGTGTGTGTGTGTGTGTGTGCATGGCATGTATGCGTATTTGTTTTTGTAAACAGCTTTGCAGCTCATGCATAATTTATGGCCATTGCATTAATTTATTTATTTATATGGCGGCAGGAGGCGTGGTCGCGGCCAATTCATCAATTATCTGGGAAAGCAAGTCAAGTCCTATTTTCGTCCTTCCTTTTCGCGCTGTCAACTTATCGCGCACAGCTTCTAATGCATGTTTTGCACACTAACAACAACAGCAAGCAGCAGAAGCGCCAATATTTATACACACCCACACACACGCACACGATTAACTTGTCTGGGTATGGGGCATGCAACCATTCTAACGCAACCACACAGACACATAGCGCCCACCCACCCACTCGTCCAGTTTTGAGCTGCACGCACAAACAACAAGAACAAGAACACTGCCAAAACCCTACCCCCACCCCAAGACAACACCCCCAGCCACCCACAAGCACACAAACGAGCAGCCACTCCATGGAGTGGGTGGCCACACAGTGAACGATGTTGTGCGTGTTATCAACAAAGAAGCTCAAACACTTTGGCTTTCTTTTTCTTTCTCTTCCAACGCCTCTCTCTCTCTCTTTCTCTCTCTCTCGCTCGCTGTCTATTTCTCTCGCTGGTCGCTGGGTCGCTGCTCTTAGAGCAACTTTGCCATTAAACGACACCAAAGATTCGGCACTCAGTGCCGAGTATAGCTGCAGCGCTGGAGGCGGCGGCGGGGGCATTGCATCAACAAATGGGGGCTGCTGCGGTGCAAGCGGAGGCGGAGGCGGAGCCGGTGGCGGCGGCAGCATCATCAGCAGCGGTGCTGGCGGCGGCGGCGGCAACGGCGGGAACTGTGGAGGGCATCATTACCACCACCATCATCACCATCAGCATCATCATCATACAAACCATGCAACTGGCAACGGCACCACTCAGCACAACCACCACAACCACATCCAGAATCAGAACCAGAACCAGAACCAGAACCACAACCACAACCACCATCAGCACCTAAACCAGCAAACAAGCAACGCACTGACCACCACGTCCAACAGCACCAGCAGCGCCAACTGCAACTCCAATCAGAATATGAATTCAAATTCAAATTTGAATGCCATGAGCATGTCCGCCTCGCTGGCCTCCATGCCAGGACTGAGTGCCTATCTGGGCATGTCCAATTTGCGCACCACCAGCATTGGCGATGACGACGATGGCGACATCAATCTGGACGTTGACATTGCCATGAATAATGCATCGGCTACTTCTGCTGCTGCTGCTGCTGCTGCTGGCGGCTGTGCCTCTGGCTCAGCATCTGCAGCTGCATCGACTTCGGCGTTGGCGTCGGCGTCGGCATCAGGCGCTGGTTGCTCCGCCTCCGCTGCGCATTATTTGCGACACAGCAGCAACTATCGTTCGGCGGCGGCGGCAGTTTCTTCTGCCGCACAAGCATTGCATGGCGCTGACCATGGCTTGCTTTCATCATCATCGCTCGCATCCAGCAGCACAACAGCAGCAACGTCATCCGCATCCTTTTATAATCGCTTCCTACTCCTCGATAATTCCAGCGGCGATGCAGTCGGCTGCGGCGGCGGTGGCGGCGGCAAAGGCAGCAACGGCCTGGATATGAGGCATGAGACAGCTGCCACGCCACCGGCTAGCGCACACTCTGTCGGCGATGGCTTCTCGCATTCCAACAGCGCCTCGACCAGCTCAGCAGCAGCAGCAGCAGCAGCGGCGGCGGCGGCGGCGGCAGGGCAAGCTACACAAGCAGCCACTGCGGCTGCTGCTGCTGCTGGCATCGCAGCCAACAGTACGGCGCATATTTACCTAAATCTGTTGCGAAGCAGCAGCTCGGACGTTCTGGAGCTTGCCCAAGCAGACGCGGCCAGCGGCGAGAACAGCAACAACTGTGATTACCGAAGCGAGAGCAACCAGGTGAGCAGCTGCCGTGTGCACAGTGTTACCCACCTAACCACATCTGCATCTATTAACAGAATGGCATAGAGGATTCGCCAAGACGTCACAGCTCAATGGACCAGCTAATTGGTCTGATCAATGACTTGGGCAAAACGTCGCGCACGCGCAGCCTCAGCGATGGCGGTACCCAGGACGACGATGAAGGTGAGCAGCGCAATTGCAATTGATTCCTTTTCAAATGTCTACCTTATTGCTATCCTCCTGCGCCCGTTACAGTGGAAAAGGAGGCGCAACCGGATCTGCTAAACAATACGCCACCTGTGCCACCGAAGCGTTCGCATCGACGTCGACACACGCCGCCGCGGCCCATTTCGAACGGGCTGCCACCGACGCCCAAGGTGCACATGGGCGCATGCTTTTCCAAAATCTTCAACGGGTGTCCGCTGCGCGTCCACTGCACCGCCTCGTGGATACATCCGGAGACGCGGGATCAGCATCTGCTGATCGGCGCAGAGGAGGGCATCTACAACCTCAATATGAACGAGCTGCACGATGCGGCCATCGATCAGCTGTTTCCGCGTCGCACCACCTGGCTGTATGTGATCAAGGACGTGCTGATGAGCCTGTCCGGCAAGTCGTGCCAGCTGTATCGGCACGACCTGGTCGCTCTGCACTCCAAGCAGACGGTGCGCTTCTCGCTGCACATGAACAAGATACCGGAGCGGCTGGTGCCGCGTAAATTTGCGCTAACCACCAAAGTGCCAGACACGAAGGGCTGCACCCAGTGCTGCGTCACACGCAATCCCTACAATGGCTACAAATATCTGTGCGGCGCAACGCCGAGCGGCATCTTTCTGATGCAGTGGTACGATCCGCTGAACAAGTTCATGCTGCTCAAGCAGTGCGAGTGGCCGGCCACCAGCATTCTGGGCCAGGGCTGCGTCCAGAACGGCCATACGCCCATCTTTGAGATGATCATCACGCCCGAGCTGGAGTATCCAATTGTGTGCACAGGCGTGCGCAAGGCCCTCAATGGCTGCCTCAAGCTGGATCTGATCAACATGAACAGTGGAAGTTGGCCTCGATTGTGGCTTTCAATCGCAATTGACTAATCTTTGTTGTTGCCTTCTTGCAGGTGCCAGCTGGTTCCATTCAGAGGACTTGGAGTATGATGCCATGGCCACTATGGTGCCACGCCGCGATCTGCTCAAGGTGGTGCGCGTCCATCAGGTGGAGAAGGATGCCATACTCGTCTGCTATGGCAATGTCATGCAGGTGGTTACGCTCCAAGGCAATCCCAAGCAGCACAAGAAAATGGTTGCTCAACTCAATTTTGACTTTAACGTGGACAGTATTGGTAGGCCAAGGACTTTGGGAGTCGCCTCCCCTCCTTCTCTCTGTGCTTTTACTAATTGTTGCCTTCTCTTACTTTCTCTTATATAGTTTGTCTACCGGACAGTGTATTAGCATTCCACAAGCACGGCATGCAGGGCAAGTCTCTGCGCAATGGCGAGGTGACGCAGGAGATCAAGGACATGAGTCGCACCTATCGGCTGCTGGGCAGCGATAAGTAAGTGCCCATAGCTACAGCTTGCAATTGCCAGCCAAGTTTGACATATTCCAAGTGTTATGCGAGGGGTGATCTGAGATCAAATTGATCAGACCACCCTCGTCTATAGACATATATAAATACATATGAATCTTTATAACTCAAACTTCTCTCTTCTTACCAGGGTCGTCGCATTGGAGAGTCAACTTTTGCGCACCGGCTCGCTGGGCAGCGAGGAGGGGCACGATCTGTACATCTTGGCCGGACACGAGGCCAGCTACTAGGCGGGCGCTACTTGATATAGATATTATAAATATATATACACAGCTATATATATACGTATATGCATATATATATTTCTCTTTATATATATACATATACATATATATATATATATGCCAGATAAACACACGCACTCAATAAATTTGAAATTCAAGCGCGCAGCCGTCGCCACAGTCGGCGTCAACTACTAAATGTAATTGAATTACTCGTAGGCCGTAAGCTACATTAAATTCGATTCAAGCATTACATTAGGAAATTACAAAGCAACTTAGAGCGCATTTGATTCTAAAACGAGATTCTTAGTCTCCCCCTTTGTCCACACAATTTTTCCATTCTTTGCCAAATCCCCTTTAGCAGTGTAATTAAATGTATTTAACGAGTTAAGCTGCACAGTCTATCGTCTACCCGATTCCGTTGTAATTATATTTTTGTATTACAAATAGAAGAAGAAGAAACACACACATACACAGAAATGCTTTAAATTATATGCCTAACGTTTTTTAATTATGCATAAATAATTAATGTTAATAAGACAGAGAGGGAGAGAGAGCGCGCGCACGAGAGCAGTGGAACAAGAGAGACGAAGATTTGTGTAAGGCTCACAAAGCAAATAAATTAGTCCGAGAAAAAGATTGAAAGTGAAGCTGGAGAGCGAAAGTCAAAGCAGAGGCGAAACGCATAAATTATAATCGTAATTAAACATTATTAGAAACTAACTGAAATTTCATAGTTTTAGCAATTGTAAATCGCAAGTGTTTTTGTAGTTTGGTAAATGATGAATGGCAAGGAACTGCATTAAAAAAAACGGAGAAAAAAAAAACAAAATAATTTCAATAATTTGTGAAAATATTGATTGAATGAGTGTGAGAGCGAAAAAATGGTTTGTTGGGAAACAAAGTAGATTAAGCATTTTCTAAAAATAACAAATAAATCTATTTGAAACACGATTGCATTGTAAAGACGTTCGAAAACTGATTGTCATAATTACGATTTTAGCCTAAGAGAACAATATTTCCCAGCAGCACATTTTTCTTCAGTTGTAAAAAAAAATTATATATATATATGTTTTAAGTTAATTAGTTGTACGTGAATAGCGAGAAACCGAAAATTATAAATTAATACAAAAACTTGTTGAACTTTAGTTTAGTGCAAAAATAAAAGTATTTAAAACAAAAGATTTGAATTATAGCGAAATGCGCGCTTGCTTAACAATAAGTTGGCAGCACTTTTAGTAGCTGTTGCCAGACTGGCTGTAGTGGAGTGTGTTTTGTGACATTGTCAGCTGAGCGCCAGACGGTCACACTGACAATAACACAATTCAATTTCACGTGTCGCTCTGTGATTTGATTTTATGTTGAAAAAAGTTGAGTGAAATATAATAAAAATGGCATTTGAAGTGCCGCCATGGGACAAGGGAGCTGAAGTGATCAAATTCAAGCCAATTCATGTAGTGAGCACTGGAGCTGCTGCCACAAAGAAAGCCAAAAAGCTGAAGAAGAAAAAACCAAAGGCGAAGAACCACGCCGACCATGAAAATTCCACAAAAGCAACTGCAACGGGCTACAGATTGGGCAGGGGACCGCTAGCACCGCCACCGGAGTCATCGGACGACGAGGCGGATGATGGAATGCGTGCCATGCACAAGATTAGAAGCGGTCGCATTGAAAAACCGCGCCCAATCCTTCAAGTGGCCAAAGATAACAAAAAGAAGCAACTGAAATTGAAGCCCGAAATGATCGAAGCTGCAGTCGAGGCCATGGAAACCTCCGCCTCCTCCTTGGGTGAAAGCGCGCCTGTCGGGCTGGCAAACAAATTGCAATCCGAGTTGCTTGGCGGACGTTTTCGCTATATTAACGAGCAGCTCTACACAATGAACAGCCAGAAGGCTGAGAAGCTTTTCAACAAGGACGCCGAAGCCTTTGAAGCTTATCATGCAGGATATCGCCAGCAGGTGGACAAATGGCCTGCAAATCCGTTGGCGCGCATCATCAAGACCATCAAGAGATTGTCCAAGACACTGATCATTGGGGACTTTGGCTGCGGTGAGGGTAAGCTGGCACAATCGGTGCCCAACAAGGTCTACTCCATGGATTTGGTCTCCACTCGCGCGGACATCGTTGCCTGCAACATAACGAATACTCCGCTGCAAGATCAATCTCTGGACGTGGCTGTCTACTGCTTGTCACTAATGGGTACCAACCTCAATGATTATCTGCTCGAGGCGAATCGAGTGCTGAAGCTGCATGGCAATGTTTACATAGCTGAGATTCAATCCCGTTTCGATGATGTGCGCGAATTCGTGCGGTTTATGGGAAGCTGTGGATTCGACCTGGTCAAAAAAGATGTTGCTGTAAATTATTTCTACTTCTTTCAATTTCGCAAAATGCGCCATGTGGACAAACAGGTGAAGCTGAAGCCCTTCTCTCTAAAGCCCTGCCTTTATCGTAAACGATAATACTAGATTGTACATTAAATAAATGTAGTTCACAGTTAAACAAACTAAATTTTTTTGATCGTTAAACAGTTGGGCGTTGCCACTTAGGTAAAAAATGAAGCGTCAAATGGGCTTCCACTCTATTCAATTCGTAGGGCAGACAAAAGCTCATTGGTTTGAAATACATTTTGTAGCTGTGACGTCGTACGCTCTGTATTTCTCTCTGTCTCTCTCTTCCGCTGGCTGACAATCCATGGGGCAGTGGTTGTTTTGTCGACTCTGCCGCTTAAATACAAAATAAATATCTCTCAGTACCAGTTTGCTCTTCGTGCGTAGCATTTCGAATACGGTACGTTGGCTGAAAATACCCCGTCGCAGGCCAATAGGAAAACAATATAAAAAAATACACACATATATATAAGAGAAAAACAGGCAAGAGAATTGCTAGCAAAAACAAAATCAAAGCATCTGTGTGCCAGTTGCAGAAATTCGCGCGCAAATTTGTGTTTTTATAAATAAAACAAGAAAAGTTTCTCAATTTTTCATTTACGCTTTTATGCAGTTTTCACACGCCCACGCCCACGCCTAGTTTTACACCCCGCGCTGTCATTGCGCTCACTCTCAATTTTACTATTCTCTATTACTCACTCAACGTCAATTTTCAACAGGTATTCAACGACGACGACAACAACAACAACAACAAATTGTCTTTTTTCGTGTTCAATAGAAAAAAGTGGCCAAGAATTTGTTTATATGTATTTGCTGTATAGCTGCGCGTGTATGTGTCTGTGAGTGTCTGTGACTGTGTTTGCGAAGTCAACTAGAATATTTGCGAAGCGATTTGTGTGAAAAGTGAAAACAAGTGGGAAAAGCGCCGCAAAGTATTCAACGCTTCCAGTGGATTACCAACTGAATATCAAAGCAGAGCTTACTCGTAAGTAACGGCAACTTTAACTACAATTTAATTTGGTTCTCAATCTGAATCTGCTGCAGCCATTGCCCGTTGTTTAGGTCTTTTTCTGTTCATTTTTGGGCTGTGGTCAGACTTTTCGGTTGTATGCTCCGTCTTCGAATTATTTTATGCTTTTAACATGCACACACACTCACACCAAGAACAGTATGACTTCATAGCACACAAACACACACAGATACGCACATACATATATACGGACACGCACATTAAAGCTAAACGCTCTCTCAGCACTCGCCACTCTCTCAATACAGTGTGTGCCAGATAGAGCGAGAGAGAGTGAGTGAGAGCGAGAACGTCGACGTTGTCGCTTTTTGGCCAAGCTTTAGCTGTATCTTTTTATACGTTTTCTTTGATTTTCTTTTGTGCTGCCTTTGAAACTTTACGAGTTTATGTTGTTGTGGCTGTTGCTATTTCACTCTTTTGTCGCATTTTGTGTTTTTCTCAGTTGCTTCGCATTTTGTTTTTTGAGCAGGGGCTGAAAGTTGAGAAATTCTTATTGGCAACCGGAATGGCGCGTAGTCAAGGAGACACATTCAAAACATTCAACACATGCCGTATCAGATACAAATACAGTAAGGGCTCTCTAGCATGAACTTTTATTATTCCAATTTATGCTAATACTTTGTCAAAGTATGATTAAACCCATTGTTAAGCAAATTTAGAGAAGGAAAATTACATTTTACTAAATTTGAATCATTTTCCAAATTGTGAATACTCAATTTACGCTTAGCTCTCTTGTCGCACGTTCACTGTATGCAATTGTGTGCGTGCTTAAATAGTAGCTGCCTGCTGTATTCATGCCACCTTCCCCATTAAACTTATTACGATTGAAATTACGAAATGCGACACAGTCAGTCAAGTATTTTCGGTCTGGATAAAAGTTCATATACCATGTGGCAAGAAGAAGAATGGAAATGCGCAGCGAGTGTAAGATTGGCGACAACGACGTCACTGGCACAAAAATAAACCTAGAGCAGCAGCTGCTGCCTTGGAAAGTGATCGCGTTGAGCAGGTTATTTCCTTATCAAAATTTAGCTGCTCTGTGCTTTTTGCGCTGTATTGGCATTTGGTTCTGATATCAAGGCTAGGCACAAAGGAAGTCCATGGAGCTTGCTGGCCATTGTACTATGTACAAATGTTAGCCACTGATAAGGTTCGAATTACTCACACACAGATAAGATTCGGCGCGAATAGTCGAGGGTAACTGTAAGTTATGAATGGGGCAGGTGACTCTTCACAGCAGTCAGTAGCTGCCCGCCATGCGTCATTTGCAGCCAAATGGATTTTCACAATCAATGGAAAATCTGCTAGAAAGCAGACGCGGACGTGGCTTGGCTTAGCTTGAGTTGGCTTGGCTTGGCTTGGATCTGGAACAGAGCATTTGACCCAAATAGTCTAACGAGCCACACTGCAATGCATTTCCAAGAGTCTCTGTCTTCAAAGAGAGCTGTAGACAGAGCAAGAAGTTGCATTAGAAACCGGTTATTGCTTGGCCAAGAAATTGGCTACACAACAGACAAACAAATAAAGGAAACGAGCAAAGCAAATGCTAATAACTGTACAACGGACCAAACTGTGCGAGTCGAACGAAAAAAATTGTACAAAATTATAATAAACTGTGGCGAGCCACAGCCAGAGCCCGAGCCAAAGCCAAACGACTAAGCCACATGCAAGCACAAACGTGAAAAACAGTGTGAAAAACCTGAATTCAAAAAGAGAGCCAACACAGCCAGAGTCTGAGGCAAGTTTAGCTCCCCTCCCACTCCGCACAACAGAGCGGCAGAACAAGGTGTGTCGCATTAGAAGAGAGAGCGAGAGAGAGAGAGAGGGAGCAAGAGCAAGAGAGCAATTTGTAATCGGCTCTCTTAGCCAAAGTCGAGCTCGTAGCGTAAACTGGAAATTTGGGCCACAGCAGAACACGCTGCCAGATCGTTTAAAGTTTCTACACTCAATTTCCTAGCGGGCACTACGTTTGGCATTTCAAATCGTTTGATTTGCATTACGATTTGAGGCTCAGTATCCCATCTCCCTTGATTTGTTAGCTTCCGCCTGAGAGTTTAATTATTGAAATCTATTTGATCGACCCGCTAACGCCCTCTGCTAGACAACAAAGCTCCAGGCACAGTTGCCACACAATTTTCCAGTGGGTCTAGTCGAGATCTCTTGATTTGCGACAATGATCCCCAAGTTTCCGCTTTTGACTTCTACAGATTCGGGTCTATTTTCGAGTTGTTAACGCCCTCTGCGCGGGGCAACCGACAGAAAACAGCTTTTACACACACACAGGGCAACACTCACACACACACACATTCAGGCACTCATACATTTTCGCATTGAATTTTCTATTTATATTTGTTGTCACATCGATTTTTATTGTTGTCGAGGGGGGCGCTATGATTTATGTGGATAAAGAGCCAGCTGTGTATTTTGGTTTGTTTACTAGTTCAGTGGAGCCACCCCAGTTGGCATCTATTTGTGGGTGGGTCTTGGGTTCGACAACACTCTCGAGTTCGTTGGCCATCGCGAGAGACTCGCGACTGGAAGGCGTTCGGAATACTTTAAATAGCGAATTGCTGAGGCGTTGCTCTGGCTGCAGCACAATAGCAGGAAATATATACAGATATATGTATATAAATATATATATATATATATATATATTCCCAATAAATACATACGTAGAGTATATCGCAGTCTGTAATTCGTCAAACGCCATTGAGCAAAGCCAAGTAGAGAAGCCATGCCATGCCGCCGAGTGCTCAATTCACTTTTTGCACTGGTCAACAAGTGCGAACGATTTCTGTAGTGCTTGACGTGGGCGATTAGAACTCAAACAAGAATTGCAACTGGAGCGGATCTGGCTTATCGCAGCGCGAATTTTGCTATTTATATATGCTTAGAAGTATAAATAAATATTAATGTGGGCTTTTATAAATAAAAACAATGTTTGCTGCTTTTGATAACAGCGAAAAATGCGTGTGGATACCCCTAATGCAGGCCAGGCAACTAAATTATCGATTGACCCATTTATACACATGCCAAGGCAAACCAACAAACAACTTATTCTTCTTCTTCTGCTGCTCCTTCTTTCGCACGCACACCCAAAAAAAAAAAAACAAATTCACATCAGATTGTGCGACTTGATATATAGTTCATAAATATGTTGCATAACATATATATATATATACCTTTATATCTATATATATTTGTATATGGAATGCCATCATTCGTTTCATAAAATGAGAAAAGCATTTCTTGCGGAAGTGGCCCGCAACGTGTCTGGCTGGTTATTAACGGATGTGAGCCAAGCTGTCCGCCCGCAACTCTTTCGCATTTGGCTATAGAAAACAAACATTTTGTTGAATAGAATTTATGGGCAACGCTTCGTTGGCCAGCCAAGCACACAGGTGAACAGTCACTCGCCATGAACGAACTCCCTCTCTGTCAGCATTGTTAACTGAACTTTAATAACAGTTGCAAATATATGCACTTACACACCTTTCGAACTGACGTCACGCCAGCAGCCCAACTCCAACAGATGACCTAATGGCATGACGGAATATTCACTGCTATATCTATTCATATTATTATATATATATATAGATCGGGTCTGAGGTTGAGGTTCAGGTTCATATTCATCGAGTTTGACGTTGTTTGTGTTGTGTTGTGTGCGAGTAAATTGAATTTGATTTAAGTTGTATTAAATTAAACTTAATTACGGCTTCCCCTTAACTCAATTGGATTGACCGCCTGTGCACAGGCCGAGCGAATCTTTAGCAAACATTCCAGTTCATTATACACGCACACACACACTGAAACTTCTTTCGAGTCGCAGCTCTTAACTCAAGACAACATTTGTAATGTCTTCAAAAGCTCTTCAATATTTTATATGTTCATATGTTAATAGAAGACTTGGCTTAAGCTAAAAGTACTTTGCCCAAAACTTTGCATACTTGAAGAAAAACTCTTAAGTTTTTTAGTGTTTTTTTTTAAAGAATTCACGAAATTTTTCTTCAAGTAAAATTGTTTTTTAAAGCTCAAGTATTTGTTGAGAATTGTTTAAAGTACAACTTCAGCTTCGACACATAGTTTCTTAGGACAAGATTTATACTAGCTTCAAGCATATTTTTTATATATTTTTTTTTTAATTTTCGAAAGCTGAAATTTTAATATTTGCCTGCAGTAAAGAAACATTTTAAGTATTTGCTTAAGTTTAACACATTCCTTATACTTTAGTCTACAACTAAGTTTAAAGAGAAAAGATGAGTTTTTCAAGCAAAGTTTTCGCTTCTACTTGGCTAGAGTTGTACTCGATTTCAGTAAAAATATTTCGAGTTTGAGCTTTTCTCGTACTGTTCACATATGTGTGCAGCCAAGTCGGCTTACCGGTCACGTCTTTGTTTGTCTCTGCATAAGCTTAAGTATGTAGATACATTCCTGCTCACGCCCCAAGCCCAAGTGGTGTACAGTGAGGCAGCATTGCCATGATTAGAAGCACACCCAGATGTCAGTTTATGTATATATATATATATACTTCATGTGTGTATTTCAGCTACTTGATGAATTTCACCTCGACCTCCTTCAATTGAAGCATTCATTCTTTAGTTTTTTTGTTATTTTTTTTTTTTTTTTGGGTGTCGGCAGCATCTTGCAAAATATTGCGCATGCTGTTTGCTGCTGCTTGTTGATTGTTGCAGCAATAGAACAACAATTTCAATGATGATGTCATCGTTAATGTGGTACAAAAATAGCAATATATTGCCAACCATTCTAGAGCAACAGACTAAATAATATATAAATATATATATGTCTTATGTGTTTATAGTAAACAGAGATTCGCAGCAAATGCAATCGCGCTGCAAGCCAATCACCTTTATCTCTCCCTCTCTCTGTCTAACTATGTGTGTCTCTCTCTCTCTCTGTGTGTGATTCATGCGTCAATCAATGAAGTGTGCCAGCGAACACGAAACATTTCACTGTCAAATTGCCTAGAATGCGATACACGAATTGTAATTAGATCACGATCCGAAGTACTTAACAATTATCCCGGTGACTTAATGTGGATGATGTCAACTGGGAACTAAACAGATTGCCCAAAATATTAAGGCTACTGTAGCTGTTTGCAATTAATGGATGAAAATAAACACACACCAACACACACCAGCACACACGCATGATATTATAAAAATGAAATGTCTGCCTTCTGCTTTTTGGATTCTCAACATTTGAAACAGTTTAGCGGGCACGATGACGCCATCAGCTGCCGAAACTGTGACGCGCTGTTCTGTTGCTTCATTTTCGGTTTTATTTGAGAGGATTTTGAATCTAGTTTTTGCAGCTTTATTTGCTCGTTTTGCCGCCGGCCTCAGATCAAACAGAAACTGGTTCAGCCTGTCCAGCGTTGCTGCCTGCCTCACATGTAACTGGCGATCGCGATAGAGAAATTAAAGAGTGCAAGAAATTTAAAATCAATTAAACATTCAATTGATCAATTGCCCCCAAACTATATTGCACTCGCTCGCAGTCAACATCTCTGTCTGCCTCGCTTGCGCTCTATCTATCTCTCTCCCTCTCTCTTGCTCTGTGTCTTTAAGGCGTGTGCTAATATTCGTTAGCTCTAAGACCACATGCTAGATTCACACAAATAGGTTAATAATTGTTATACTATATATTATATAGGGAATATATATATATATGTTTGAGTTCTCTAGAAGTCATACGGGCGACTGCGGCTTCAATGCTTTAATAGTATACAGCAACAAATGAAAAACAAATTGTTATTCAAAGTTTAGCGAGGGTAGTGAGAAAAGGTACTCAATCGTGCAGGCCGAGCAGCATAGTTTACAAATATAAAATAAGAACTGAAAAACAATACAAAGCATCATAATTTATCCAATAAAGGAAGTTCAACAGGGAAAGCTCCTCATGATTTGGTTGGGTTAGCTTTAAGACTGTGGAAGTTACAGTTAATCTGAATTGCCTCGCCCATATTAGACATATATATCATATCGATTATGGTAATCTAATTTAATGTCATTTAGAAGGATCCCCAAAAGTTGTAGCTCTAAAACCTTGATAGTTATTCTGATCATATTTATGAAAATAATTTGAGTTTTCATTGATGACATTTCTGCTGTGTAACCTTTAGTAACTCTCAATTTGCTATTCTTCTAGTTTTTGCAGCCAAAAAATATAAATAAATAAAATGCATCAAATGAAGCTGAAATATATGCCCTAAAAACCAATATACCCCTTTTCATTTGTTGAAGCAGTATTCAAATGAAATTATTGACCAGGAAAATATGTTTTTCTGTTAGATTACAAAGTGATCAGACCTGCTCTAATGGTGTCTTTGGCCAATCGGTTTGGCCTTCGTCTTGCCAGCAGCGTCAACTTCCACTTCTGCCATGTGAGAATAGTTTGACGAGCTGCAGCGAAAGTTCTGCAAACTTTCTTTGAGCAACAGGAGCTGGCTAAGGAGCGCGAAGGGGCGGGGCTCATGTTGGCTGTCTAATTAGAGCCGGCAGGTTTTTCACATAAATTCCAGCTGGCATAGACACAAGCTCAAACTACATATCTATGAGCTCAATATGCTGTTGCTTCTTTTATGGCTGTGTTGGTCAGCATCTAGTTTTATAGCTCTGGCCCGGGATTGTGTTGCGGTTGTGTTGTGGCTTTCGCTAGTTAAACTTTAATTTCAGTTTGAATTTACCGCGGCCCAAGCATTTAATGGTACACTTTTATATTCACAGCTCGCCAGGCAGCAACTGCGGTCAGCAGCAACTAGAACAAGGCACAGTTCACGTAAGTATGACTACGAGTATGAGTGTGAATGGGAATGTGAATGTGACTATGACTGTAAATAGGAATGCGAATAATCGTATGAATAATGTCATCGCATGACATCACGGTCCAGGCAACCCTTAGGGGTTTAGGGGTGCCTCACAGCGACTGCTTGCAATCTTTCGCGCACTTGAAGTAATTTTATAGCCCTGTCCCAGTTCGCTGGCGCCAGGCAAACGCTCAGACACAGAGACTGGAGTCAGACGAACGGCGACGCATTCGCTCGCTTGCAGTGAGCACATCCGGTCGCATAGCCTTCCTTTCTTCCACAAGTTGTTGACTGTTTTTTTCGCTTTATTTGCAGCTCCAATTTTCTAATCGATTGCATTCAGCAAACTGAGTGCGTAGCGATGCCGGCGGAAACTAAAGCATCCGCGCCAGCGGAACCGGAAACACCGACCAAGAGCAAAGGGAAGAGCAGCTCATCGACCTTTTCAAAGGCCGCATTGGCGCGCGTCACACTGCTCGATGGCTCCATACTGGACGTAACCATTGACGTGAGTAACTTTTACCCAATCTCTAACTAAATCTCATTACTTTGCTATGCATTCAACGACGCAGCGCAAAGCCAAAGGTCGCGACCTGGTCAACTCCATTTGTGCCGGCCTAAACATCATTGAGAAGGACTACTTTGGCCTGACCTATGAAACGCCCACCGATCCGCGTGTGTGGCTGGACTTGGAGAAACCCGTTGCGAAGTTCTTTCGCACGGATCCCTGGCCACTCGCATTCGCCGTCAAGTTCTATCCACCGGAGCCCTCGCAGCTCCAGGAGGACATCACGCGCTACCATCTGTGCCTGCAAGTGCGCAATGACATCCTGGAGGGTCGTCTGCCCTGCACCTTTGTCACGCACGCCCTGCTCGGCTCGTACCTAGTGCAGTCGGAGATGGGCGACTACGATCCCAAGGAAATGCCAACTCGTGCCTATCTGAAGGACTTTAAAATCGCACCCAATCAGACCTCAGAGCTCGAGGAGAAGGTCATGGATCTGCACAAGACTCACAAGTAAGTTTTGCCAGCCATTAAAAGCTATATCTGAGCCGATATCATCTGATCTTTGGTTTTTCCTTCACTCAGAGGTCAATCGCCCGCAGAGGCCGAGCTCCACTATCTGGAGAATGCCAAGAAGCTGGCCATGTATGGCGTGGACCTGCATCCCGCCAAGGACTCTGAGGGCGTGGACATTATGCTGGGTGTGTGTGCGTCCGGCTTGTTGGTTTATCGCGATAAGTAAGTAGAACTAGGAATATTTCCACATCGATGGGCACTCACAAAAAGTTAAAATTTCCTACAGATTGCGCATCAACCGTTTCGCTTGGCCAAAGATCTTGAAGATCTCGTATAAGCGTCATCATTTCTACATCAAGATACGACCGGGCGAATTCGAGCAATACGAATCCACCATCGGTTTTAAGCTTGCTAACCATCGTGCCGCCAAGAAGCTGTGGAAGTCCTGCGTGGAGCATCACACCTTCTTCCGTCTAATGACGCCAGAGCCCAACACCAGGTCCACTCTATTTCCACGTTTCGGCTCCAAGTACCGCTTCTCGGGTCGCACCCACTACGAGAGCAAGGCCACACCCGTCGACCGTACGGCGCCCAAGTTCGATCGGGCTCTGTCCGGGGCACGTCTCTCCTCTCGCAGCATGGATGGTGAGTGCAGTAAATGAAAGTACGAAAATATATGCCAAACTCTAATGATAAATCATATTGGCGCTTAGCTCTGGCCATGGCTGAAAAGGAGAAGGTGGCCCGCAAGAGCAACACCTTGGATCACCGTGGAGATCGCAGCTTGGACACGGATCCGCTCAGCCGCAGCCCCATCAAGAACAAGAAGGACAAGGTAACTAGAAGGTCTAGCCGCTGAGCCCGACTCGAGAGGCATTTGTTCAATGATTAATGGGAGTTGTTAACCAGATACTTATTGACTTGATTTTTTTCTCGGTTTGTTACTAACTCTCACTCACAAACCAAACCAAACCAAATCAAACACACACATGCACACACGCCCACACACACGCGCACAAATCGTGTGTCCGTGCTCGTTAACCTGCTGCTCGTTGCTCGTTCTAACAACATTGTTAACCCCAAATCACATATGATAACAAACCAATCAGTTAATACGCGAATCGAGCACCGGTACAGCCTCAGCCTCCTCGCAGAGCTCACTCGAGGGAGACTATGAGACCAACATCGCTGCCGAAGCGGCGTCCGCTCTTGGCGATTTTCCGTCTCTCGCTCAGGTTACTGTTTTTTTTTTCAACACTCTATGCTAAAAGTATTCGTATCAAGAATTCGATTCTCTTTCCCAAAACCTTAACAATCCCGTCAACAATTTTTTTACTCTGGCTTGATGAAATCTGCTTTTTTAATCGTTGTGAGCTTCTTCCTAGATAAAAACATATAAAAAATATTGTGTATATTCTCTTCCGATCAGCGCATATGAGTTGAACCTTATATTTTTTATTATCATATCGTATTTATTCACTAATTTTTGTTAACTGACAATTTTTATTTTGATTACATAATTGAACTTTCCCTAAACCTGGTAGCCCATGATCGAGGACTTCCAATTTATGGTAAATTTTTGTACAAACCAAACGATCTCATATAACTCTACTCTCTACAGATTGTAAATGTTTCGTCTAACTCACATTGGCATACAACTCTATACTATCCTGATTTATATATAAATATATATATTTGCAATTTATACTTTAACTGTTTAGTTTGATTTGAACCCTCATTTGCGCTACATTACCGTAAATACCGCCCTCATATTGTATAATATTGTCTGTCTAAAAGCATCTAAACAAAAATTGGCAAAGAAGAAAATTTAAAAAATGAAAAGTGAACGAAAATCGTTCACTGAAAACTGCATTCACTTTGTACAGCTTAAACACCTTAATTTTTGGCGCTTGAACAACACGTTTGATCCATCCTCTGTCATTTTTGTTGCATGAAATCCTAAGCTTTTTCACTAAAACTTCCTTGTCTTTACTGTCCTTTGGCAAGACTTTGCGAAATCAGTTGTTAAATATGGCTATTAATAAATTCACAGGATGAGGAGAAGGAGGCCAAGTTGCGCGAGAAAAAGCAGCGAGAGAAAGAGGAAAAGGAGCGCAAAGAGAGGGAGAAGCGCGAACAAAAAGAACGCGAAAAGGCCGAGAAGGCGGCTAAGGCAGCAGCTGCCGCTGCCGCTGCCGCTGCCGCAGCTGGCATCAATGGTAATATCTATATAGATATATATATACCTACTCTATATAGTAATGCTTCGATTTCCTTGACAGGCAATGAGGATCCCAATGACTCTAAAAAGTCAGATACATCTGGCAGGCGTGTAAGTATCCTAATTTATAGACGTTTGCTAGTTATAGAGAAATATTCTTAAGGATTTACCCAGAGTCTAGTGTTAAGTTAATATAAAACCCTGCGTAAGAGCTCTTCGCACCATTTGTACATATACAACCAAGTTAGTCCCATCCCATGTCCACTCACAGCTTAAGTTCAGCTCCTAAGTAATGTTAGTTTGTATTTTAGTACGTTAGTTGATCCAAAGTTCTTATAATTTCCATCCGAGTTTTTAATTTTAATTTCTTTCTGTATTCCCATCCTCCGATTCGTTTCGTTTTATGTTTCAACTTTTGATTTGTTGGCGCTGCCTGAAATGGGTAAACAAAACAGGGTGTTGGTATATTCTCGTCGGGTCGCAAGAGCAAGAGCGGTTCACCGTCCAAGGATGGCAAGGATAAGTCCGGCAAGGACAAGGATAAGGAAATGGGAACTCTCGGTTTGGTCGTTACCTCGGGTCTGGGCGAGCAGGAGCAAGACGATGCCAATCGAGGGGCGAACAAGAACCGTGGCTCCACCACACCCGGCGTTACCCGTCCCTACGAGTACGCCGTGGATGCTGAGGGCAATGCCAGTAGCCCAACGCGTAAATCATACACGCCTGGCGGCTTCCGCTACGACCAGGATCCGAATAGTGGCAAGCAACTAGGTCCCGATGGTCAAGAGCAGCTGTCGCCGACGTCGCAGCAAAAGAAGATCGGCCTGGCCTTCAACTATGCGCCAGGCAATGACAATGCTCTCAAGGAGACGGCCGAGAAGATCAAGTCCGGTCAACTGTCTCCTCGCACTCGGGATAAGCTAAACCGTGGCCAACTCTCGCCCAAGTCCAGAGCGAAGCTGCTGCAGGATGGCAGCCTCTCGCCCACCACTCGCGCCAAGCTGCAAGGCAGCGCTGTGGATGCCGCTGCAGTGCCACTGAGCGATGGCCAGAAACGCTCCTACTCCCCCACCAAGGGTCAGCAGGGCCAGCAAGGCTATGCATCGGGTGCGCCCGGCAGCTACAAGCCCATCATTGATCCCACTGCCGAGTTCCTTGAATCACAGCGCTATAATAAGGAGCCCGCATATGTGGGCGTTGCAGCTGGTGCTGCTGCAGCTGGTGCTAAGCCTGGTTCGCCCAAGAAAGCTGCAACGGGAGCTCGTGCTAGTGCAGGTCCTGGTGCAGCTGGTGCAGCGGCTGCAGCTGCTGCTGCCAAGCCCAAGAAGAAGCGCGTTAAGATTATGGTCATTACCTCCAAGTTCGATCCAACGACCAAGCGCATTGATGCCGAGAATGGCACAATTGAGCACTCGACGGGCATCCTTGACCCTGCCACAGGTCGCATTGATACTAAGTACGGCGTAATTGATCCGCAGAACGGCACTTTGGAGGCTTTGAATACACAGACAGGCAAAAAGGAGCTGTACCAGGGCGATGTGGATCCAAAGACGGGCAATTTGCATTTGATAACCGGTGTCTCAGATCCTAAGACCGGCCGCATCGATAGCTCGTTGGGTCAGATTGTGTGCATAACGCCACAGGATAATCCAGTCGTTGAGCTGACGGTCATTACAAGCCGCATTGATCCTGCAACGGGCAAGATCGATACCGTTAATGGTGAGGTCGAACGCTCGCTGGGCGTCTTGAACTTGAACACTGGCTTGCTGGATACGAAATACGGTGAGATTGACACACGCAAGGGTGAGCTGAAGGCCTACGATCCGAAGCATGGCAAAATTGTGGTCACCAAGAATGTCAAGGTTGACCCTGGCACTGGTCAAATCACCATCTTGGGCGTAATTGATCCGAAAACCAATAAGATTGATCCCAATCAGGGTCGCATCATTGAGGTTGGCCAGCAAATTGATCCAATCGTTGAGGTTACATCTCTGGCTGGCAAATTCGATTCCAAGAAGAACATTATCGATCCCAAGACAGCTCAAGTGGAGACATCTGGCGGCCAGTTCGATCCAAAGGCGGGCAAGATTGACACCAAGTACGGTCAAATCGATTTGGTTAAGCACACAATCACCTTCACCGATCCCAAGTCCGGCAAGTCGGTGACGCGAGACATTAAAATCGAGCCGACCACCGGACAAATCGTGCTTAAGAACCAAGTCAACCCCAAGAACAACAAGCCAGACAAGGATTATGCACGCATCATTTCGCTGCGCATTGTCCAGCAACGCGTGGACCCGGTGACAAAGGCACCCATCACAGAGGTCAGCGCCGCCAAGGACAAGGACATTGTCGTTGATCCCAAATCGAACCAGATCTGGGTGCCGACCGGGGCCAATGATCCCAGCACTAAGGAACTGCAATATATTTCCAGCAGCGTGGATCCCAAGACGGGCTATGTCATCACCATCTATGGCTATCTCGATCCCAAGACCCACGAGGTCAAGAAACAGACCAAACTCGATCCCAACACCATCAAAATCGAGCCGACGTCCGGCAAGATCTACACGGCTACAGGTGAAACGGACACGGCAACCGGTGAACCGCTTTACGCTGCCACTCAAGTGGATCCGGAGTCCGGCGAGGTTTACACCAAGCTGGCTCGCGTCGATCCCAAGACTGGCAAAATTGTTATTGTACGCATTTTGCTGATGACCAAGACAGACGAACGCGGTCGCCCCGAGGAAGTTGATCCAGAGAATTGCGAAATCGATCCGGTTTCGGGTCGTGTTCTTAAGTTCTTCAACAAAACCGTTTATGTTTATAATATGATTGATCCGATAACTGGTGAAACTGTGCAGGTTGATCCCAATGATCCACGCTTCGCGGGCGCCCGGACCACAGTGACCCACACGATGACGCTGACTGGAGAGATTGATCCGGTGACGGGACGCATCAAGAGCGAGTACGGCGACATAGATCCCAACACGGGCGACATAGATCCCGCCACAGCTGTCACCGATCCGGTCACCGGCAAGCTGATACTCAACTACTCACAGATCAATCCCGCACACTTTGGCAAACAGGCCCAGGTGCAGACAACCACAGAGACGGTGCCGATCACACGCCAGCAGTTCTTCGATGGGGTCAAGCACATTGGCAAGAGTGCACTGCGTCGCGACTCCGAGGGCAGCTCCGACGACGACATGACCCAGCAGTATGGCACTGATAATGTCAACGACATCGTGCTGAGCTCACCGAACCAAGCTGGCGCCACCGGCGGCAAGCTGGGCAAGCAAGTGAGCACACCCACGGTGGTGAAGACGACAACGAAGCAGGTGCTGACCAAGAACGACGGCGGCGTCACACACAACGTAGAGGAGGAGGTGCGCAATCTGGGCACCGGCGAGGTGACCTACTCGACGCAGGAACACAAGGTTAGCTCCAGTTCTGACTCTGTTGTGGCTCTTTCACAAGCTCTCGCGCTCTCTTCTTCTGCTACTGATTGAAGACGCTTTCGCAACGCCTCAATTAATTTGAGTATTTCTCTTTTTATTTTGTTTTTAATTTCCTGTGCCTCTTTGCTAACTGCTTTCGCTGTTCTCGTTGCTATTGATGTAACCGTTGTTCAATGCGCACTAACCACACCAACAACCACACAACCAAACCACCCACCTAGGCTGATGCAACACCTACCGATCTGAGTGGCGCCTATGTCACGGCCACTGCAGTCACCACCCGCACAGCAACCACGCACGAGGATCTGGGCAAGAACGCGAAGACGGAGCAGCTGGAAGAGAAGACCGTAGCTACCACCCGCACCCTAGATCCCAACAACCAGCAGCAGCGCGTCGTCACCCAGGAGGTGAAGACGACGGCAACGGTAACCAGCGGCGATCAGGTAAGAGAATCGATTCCAATTCGGCTCGCATGGCTGCACCTTTCGATCTGCATGATTTGTGATGTTTGTTATTTGTTTCGTTTTATTTTATTTTTTTATTGGATTTCGAATTCGATTTCGATTTCGATTTGTTGTTGTAAATGTTGCACAACTAGTATCAGAGGCGCGACAGTGTGTCATCGACCAGCTCCGGCGACTCCGGCACACCCATCGATGGGCCATACGATGGTTCCAGCGTGGTGCGCACTGACACTCAGGTTTGTACGAGTCTGAAGCTTGGTATTTAGTTGACTTAGTGTCTGTACTACTAATGTCCAGTTCCGTTCTGTGCCGAACGCCTTTAATGTTCTTCTTCTGCTAACCAACCCCATAGAAATCTCCGCTATATGCAAGCTCGGCAACCGCCTCCACTGGCCCGCACGTTGAAAGCACCCGAGTGGTGCTCGGCGAGGATTCGCCCGGCTACTCAGGACATGGCGAGATCATCTCTACGCAAACCGTGAGCAGTAAAACCCGCACCGTCGAAACGATTACCGTAAGTAAACCGAAAGAGTTCGCACGACTCTGGCCACTGACCAAGCGTGAGTAAGTAGAGCCGGAGGTAGGATTTCAATTTGACCAATTTCTACCAAATTACAAATTCCAAATTTCCTGTATTCGTATGCGCCTCCACTGTACATTTAAATACATTAGTCTCTTGTGTCGAACTGGTAATACGGTGTGCATTATATATATATTCATACATCGATCATCAAATCAAGTGAAAACTTGGTAAGCGGCAAATCTTTAACTCTTGATTGATGGAGCCAGGCCAGAAGAATATTTCTAAAATTTTGATTGATGAATCTGGAGAGTTTCTGACTATTCAGTATTGCACTCTAACTAAAAGAGCCGCTTACCGAGTGCCGTTATTCGATAACTAATCTGAACTCTCCCTTGCCCACAGTACAAAACCGAACGCGATGGCATTGTTGAAACCCGTGTGGAGCAGAAGATAACCATTCAATCCGATGGCGACCCAATCGATCATGACAAAGCCCTGGCTGAGGCAATACAAGTAGGTTCACTTACTATGTCTATATACAAACAATATTATATATCTTTTTTTATGCCATCCTTTGCAGGAAGCGACGGCCATGAATCCAGACATGACAGTCGAGAAGATTGAAATTCAACAGCAAACGCAGTAGATTTTATAATTACTTTTAAACAATTACGATGTAAAACCCGCACAGCTTCAATTCACACACCCACACACACGCACACCACCACCACCACCAACAACAACAACACAACATAAACAATCAACAAATCAAAATACACGCAGCACATCCAGTACACCTTTTATACAACCTACCTATACATATACAAATAGGATTATAGAAACTGAATTCAATATTTTCTATATATACATAGAGAGACAGAGGGAGCTATCCATAACAATTCAAGCCCATATATTGTATGTTTATAATTTTTTTAATTACAAAAAACTGTTGTTTATAACTACCTTTTATTATTATGTATGTCTAACAGAGTGTAATGCTTCGAAGCATCATTAAAGTATATTGAATGTGCAAACGCGAAAAACGTTAAAAGAGAAAATTATATATATACATAAATCTATATATAAATGTAAACATTATATTTGTAAACCACAATTGCATTCAAATAAAATGAAAACCTAAATGTACACACTAAACCCAAGCGCTTTTCACTTAACAGCTGAACGCGAAAGACTCTTTGATTATTCATTGAATGCACGCGCGGCCGGCGATAGACATCAGTAATGCATTGCTCTAGAAACAAACGCCAAATTGTTGGCGAAAAAACCCCAAGCACCCCCACCCGAGCGGTGGCAAAAACTGCGCCACATCATCGCAATTAACAAATGCAATAAAAAGCCGTGAAAGCGTGCTGCATGTGGGCACTGCCTGACTAGGAAATACCCTTCATGCCAGGGCGAGCAGCTATAGCAAATATTTGAATGGAAGTAACCTAGGGTGGAGGTATCTAAAGCTGGGAATATTGAACATATTCTAGAACTCAACATGTTCCTAACATGTTTTCTAGTTTCCTGATTAATACTTTTATATAGCGCACAACCAGTTAAAGCTGGATTAATCGACTCGACTTTTGCTTCTGCTTAAAAATAAATATATCCTTCCACGCCTCCGGCTGCCCCTTTATACCCTATTCAGAAACTTTCAATACACAATTTCATGGCAAAACGAAAACAAATGAATCCATTTGGCTCTGCAGCTCTCCCCGTGCACTTGCTCTAGCCGCCAGCTGGACACGTTGAGCGATAAGGACATTGCATTAACATGAAATCCAATTCGCAACTTCTGATGCCAGCCCAGCGACAACGAGGCAAATTATTGTAATGCAATATTTATGCAGTTCATGGCAGCAGAAAGCACAGCGAAGCTTGGGTAGGGGACGCTGGCGAGACTTGCTAATAATATTACGTTCCATGGCAGGAATTTCAATTGGACCTTAAGCCCTATGAATGCGGTTAAACAGGGTATCAACTGCTAGAGCTTGTTACGAACTGAGTCGAGGTTGAGGTAGAGAGGTCTTAGCTGTGACCAGCAGTAGGCTAACATTCAATTAAAGGACTACGATCTGAAAGATTGTCGAGTCATTAGAACGGGTTTAGATATGGAATTGAATAAATAAATACTTTAGGGTATCTCTTGGTCGACTCGACTTCTTTTCTTCTACTTTCTGCGTTTTGCTGTTCTATGCAATTTTTAAATTGTGGCCACAACATGCAAAAAAATGTCAGCAAACGATTATATTCAATGTGGAGAGAGCTGCAATGGGGGCGGCCTGTTGGGGGACAGCATAAAAAAGCAGTAATTAAAGTGGAGCATACAAGGTGACTGACTAATGCATTGATTCATTGTTTAGATATAAAGCGTTCCATGGCCGATAAAACTTCAAATGCGAGGCGTTGAAATTCTGCACCCTTGCCTGCGGTCAATGCATCAGTCAAAGAGGTGGAGTCCCTCCCCCACCCGGGTGTCAGGTGGGTCGCTCGATTGGTGGTTCGGTTGAGCCTGCCAAGAATTGCAATGCCAGTGACCACACACACACGCGCACACCCTCAGCTATTGTCCGGTCATGTGTCCACGGACACGATAACCGCTGCCTGAGCTCTGAGCTCTGAGTGCTTTCTGCTCATGAATTTTTAAATGCGCGTGGAAATATCCTCTTGCGAATATTTCGTTTTTTGTTATTGTTTTCCAAACTCCTGCATATTGCATGTTGCTGAGGTCAGGCAACAAAATTTCTAAAAGCCACCAAAGTTCTGCCCGACTATTGCATCAAATTTTCAAACTATTTCGCATGTGTGTTATTAGCTCCTCCCCCTCCCACCCCGTCCACAGCAAGCCAGCAAGCAATGCCTATAGACAAAGTTCCTTGACAACTTATGAAGAACTCATATATATTCTGTTGAACCATATAGGAAAGTCTTATCAGTACTTGAAGTCAGGTGACTTTAAAAGAGGATTAAACGAGAGATAATAACTTGGCCAAGACTGTGTATATAGCTGAGCCTCCCTGCCTCTACACTTTTGACCCATTGCAAACGAAATCAATGCAAAAAATCTAAAAAAAAAACTTTGCCCCTACAATTTCAGACTCGGACATTGTCGCGACATTGCCAATTAGATTTGATGGCAATTTGCGCTAAAATGTTATAAAACAAAAGCCCAGAGATGGGGGCGTTGGGGGCGCGCATTGGTAAAGCGAAAAAGAATGTTAAGCGGCACAGCTCCTCCACCCCGGCGCCCCTTGCAACATGTCACGCTTGAAAACGTGGCAGGCAACTGAGAGAGAGCGAGAGAGGAAGAGGCAGAGAGAGAGAGAGGGCTGCGTGGAGGCGTGACAGGACGTACGCTTATTTCAGTTTCATGAAACAGCAATTTGCATGTCTGTCTGTGCACTTTTCTACTTTTGTTTTAGTTGCTGTTCGTCCGCCCACGGGACTAAGTAATTGCCACATGCACCACATGCTGCCCGCATCCAGCAACAAGTGGAGCCAAGCAATTGGCAAGCATTTGCATGCCCACAATAGTGCAACAGCAGCAGCAGCAGCAGCAGCGAATGAGCGAGCGAGCGAGTGGGTGAGTGGGTGAGTGAGTGGATGAGAAAATGCCCCGTGCTCTTTGGCCTGCTTTCAATTGTTTGTAAACAAATGCTCCCCCAAAAGCGTGCTCCACCACAGTCGGCGGTCGCATTGGAAATTTGCGCTCTCGCTTTGACCCACGCATGCGTCTTAGCAAAGCGCCAAAAACTGTTATACGGCCCACATTTCCCCTTGCTGGCGGCAAAGCCAAACAGATAATCCATCTCCACATGATCGACAGAGCTAAGCTATTGGACTACAGTGAAATCTGCGTTCACGCACAGCATCATCAAGCCTACAGCTCCATTTAGCAGAGGTTTCTTAGTGGAAAAATTGCTAATTCACTTTTAGATCAAGCCTAAAATCAAAATATAAGAATTAGGCTAGAGAATACATTTTAGAACACATTTGTCAAATACATTTAAGAGATATGCAGATATATAGAACAATTTTAGAGGGGTTTAGAACATTTTTAGATCAGCTTCAGATGTCTTAGAGCAACTGCAGGGTATTTTAGATCATTAGAGCAACTACTGAAATAACTTTTTAGTACAGATTTTAGAGGGAATTCACACATTCATTTTGGAACTGATTCTCAAAAGAATTTTCAGAAGCAATTTTAGAACAGCTATTAGAACCACTTAGAAAACATATATAAAATGTTTGAATATCAACATTTAGTACAGCTTAGCAAATAAGATTATCTTTAGCAAACAATTTATTACAACAAAATTCTAGATAATATTCGTTGATCACAATTTAAAAATATTGTTTTAGAACAAATTTGAACATTCCTAGACCAAAATTTCAATACAATATTTTAGAGTCAATTTTTTTCTTCAAATTTATAAATGAAATATTTAGAAAGATTTTTAGAGCTGCTAAGTCAGTGTAAAATAAATATCTAGAAAAATTGTTGATCAAATTTTTAGTACATATATGGCAATCCCATGCATAAGACGCTCAAAACACCTTCTTAGGCTCTCAATTGTCTGTTCTTGGCCCATTTGACTGTAGTTTGGTTAAGAGTCCACTCGAACCTCTGCGCCTGCTGAGGAACATTTTTGGCTAATTACTTGACCATATTTTAATGGAGGTTTGTGCCGGCCAAATGAGTGTGGGCAAATGGAATTGTTGGTCAATCGCTTAAGAAAATTATCATTAGGTGCAGCGGGTGGGAGGCGCGTTTGATTGACAGTGAAAGTGCTCTAAGGAGGACGCGTGTACGGCATGTGGAGAATATTTGATTTGAGTTCAAGTCAACGCAAACGTCTCCTCGACAAATATTGAAAAAGGCGTAATTAACTGCCTAACTGGCACATAATTAGGCCCGACATTCATTAGTCTTAGCACTCGCTCAACTCCAACTTCAATTTGCAGCTAGCTTTTCCTACGATTTCCATTTCGATTTCAAAGTCAGCCTGAGGACAACGCTCTCTCTCCCTCTCCCTCTCTCTCTCTCTCTCTCTCACGTATGCTCCGCACGCATTTCGCATAAAAGAAATCAACTTAACAAAAAATGATTTTGCAATCAAATTGAGAGGCCCAAACACTGACCGTAGCAAATCGAATGGAACTCCATTTCGGTTTATAGCCTGCATCCAAAATGTTGAAAATATTGAAAACAAATTTGCGCTAAACACTTCAATTGCCAAAGATGATATTCGTTCATATAAAAATGGCAATAAATGCAAATGAAAAGCAATAAACACATAAAAACAAATCCACACACATCGGCCTTTCGATGACCTCTGCAACCCCCGCGCCCCACCGCCCCCGCTCTGCCCGCTGCCCGCTGCTCTGGCTATTGTTAAAAGTCAATTTTCAACGCCCATGGCCGTTCAAGGGTTGAAATCGAGGCAGTTTCACGAATCGAAACGCATTTTCAATAAATTCCAATTATGTTCGATACCAAATTTGAATTTGGGCATGCGAATTATTGGGCCACAGATGAAGGCTTAGACATATGGTCAGGAGTCAAGAGTCAGGTGAAGACTTTCATGGCCCATTTATGGAATTATGCCACACAATCTATAAAACTTTGATGACCTTTAAAAACCTGCAAGTGCTAGCGGACTCTGTATTTCTCACAAAAAAATAACCAAGGGTGCTCTTGCCAGTAAATGCACAGCTAACAGATACCCTGTAGTAAGTGAAAAATGGCTGATGTTTCCTGAATAGATTAGCAAAGTGTAAACCAAACTTTATGACAGAAAAAGAGAGACAGAGAGAGTGTGAGAGAGAGAGATAGAGAGAGAGATACAGACAGACAAAAAGAGAGAGAGAGAGAGAGAGACTCTGAGCAGTCCTAAGCACGTCCTAAGCACTCATAGCTAAAGCTAAAGATCTTAGCGTCTAGGCTTTAAAGTAACTAAAATATATAAAATTTCTAAACCATTTCTTAGAAATAAAAAAGTATCCATGACAAAGACTCTTGAGAGATAAACTATAATAACAAAGTAAAATTCTGATATTCTAAGAGGCTAAGCAAATTCAACTTGTCGCTAAGTTCTCTATGGCTTATCAGACAGCTCGACTCGATTCTTGTCTACATGAATATAAATAATATATATTATATATATATATATATATATATCTTTGATCAAACATTCCCTTTTCTGCCTGTTACATACATTTGAGCAGAACCAATATACCCTCTTAGCGCGCCTTGCAACAGATTCAGGCAAGCAATGGAAAAGTTTAGGACACATTCGATGCGTGTATTGGCTACGATCTATATATATATATATATCTCACATATATCGCATATAAAAAAGTTATAGTTGCATGACTTTGGCATAGGGAAGCATGAAATATTCATGGCCAGACTGGACTAAGCGGGACTGGGCTGGACTGGGCTGGACTGGAGTCCTGTGCATTGTCTCCCCCACATAATTAGGTTGACGCTGCCAAAAAAAAAAAAAGTTAAAACGAAATAGAGCAAGTGGAGGGCAGCTACTGCTCCCACTGCTGCCACCCAATTGCCGTGACGCAGTCGAAACGATTAGTTTTGTATTGGCCAATATATACATATATGTGTGTGTATAAACAATGGAGAAAATGCCATGTGGTAATCGTTAGATTTCTCGCTAAGATTGCGTTGAGTGCGCTCGGAATTTGCGCGCGCTTAGGTCTAGTCCTGGCCATAAGATAGGACATCGCATACACCGAGCACACTCCCTTCCGATTATTTCCATTTCGCATAATAAAGGTCATTGTGTTACGAGTATTATTACCGCTGCCCCGTCCACGCCAAAGAGGTTATGGCCGTACAATTTATATTATTAATGCTTTGCATGTGCCCCACACACTCACACACACACACACACACACAGGCACACACACAATGTAAACGCTGAAAATGCTTTTAGTTTAACAAATAGTCTAGCAAAAAGAGTTTTGCATTCAAAGCAATGTCAATTGAATTCAATGGCAACAATAATTTTGTTATATTTGATGCATACGAGGGCAGTTTCAGCAGTAATCTGCCTAACAAGACAGAACTTTTGCAACACTCTCAGCTGTGCTTGATGTTAATGACTATTGTAATAGCTACAAATTGGAGTTAATAAAGAGAACTGTCTAGACTGCTCTCAACTGTTCTCAAGCTGCTTGATAACTGCAGTTGCAACGGCTTCATTCTAATCTAGGGGCATGTGAATACCTGGATTGATGACCACTTTCTTAAGTGCCATGAGTATGCAGTGCTTAGTTCATTTCGTTTAATTTATCACACATCTAACTAGATCCCTAGCGTACAGCTTACAGCATAATTGAAGCAGCAGCTTTAGTCTGGAGTCAAGGTATCTGCTCGTCAGGCAATTCCGACAGAATCACTCCCTCTAGCGCTTGACAGCTAGAAAGTTATAAATAATAAATATATATTGATGGATTTATTGAATAAACTTATTGTAGATCATTTTTAGATAATGTATTGAATATGCTACAGTCTCGGTTCCACAATTGTACAATTGGAATTTCAAAATTTGGCATTTAGTTTGCTGCTGACCTCAGCTACAGCTCGCCCATAAGTGGCAAGGCATAACGAATCGCCATGGATGCAGTTAAGAAATGAATCTATTACTGATATGATATGAGATACGATATGATATGAGCAGCTCTTTTGGGCTGTGACAAGTCAGAAAAATAGAGTTTTGATATTTAATGAATGAAAGAGTATTATGCAGTCGGATATTATAGTCACATTTGCTTCGGTAAGCCATAGAGTGCAGAGCTAGCTGAAAACCTTGCTTATATTAAGATGGAAATACATTCAATTCAAAGAAAGTCTTAATTCTAGCTGGAAATTCGTTAAAATGGAAAATTGAAAGAGCATTTGCCATCAATCTCAGTTGAGTAGGCGCGCACCTGTTAAATTTGCCTCGAACTTTGCATCTTACAAAGCAAAAAATAGATATCTAAATATAAAAAGTTATTTTTAAGGTCTACAGCTCGTTAAGTTAGAGCTGCAAACCAAAATTTGACTATATCATTTAAATGTCATAAGGATTTTGACTCGTGGCGCTTTAGCAATTAGTTCGAAGGATAACAATGACGTATTGCAGGTGACACTCAGTGTGTGCGTGTGTGTGTGTTAAAAATAGTTAAAGGCTCGTCACGGCAGTCTATCGAGTGGCAAAGGACGTCTAGTTAGCCATGAAGCTTAACTCAAATTATGCGTTTTAGCGCAATAGGAACTCCCATTCTGGGGGTGTACTTAACAAATTGCTTGGCCAGCAGTTGCATAATGTATGAAGAGCAAACTGACTGTGTATACAACCAACTGCTGAGTCCTTGTTTCCCATTTCAGTTTTTTTTGTTTTTTTTTGGTGCTTTTTGCTAGCCTAAATCAAATAATACCCGAGCCTCGCGACCAGGGCCAATATGGCTAATACTAATGGGCCGCAGCAGAACAATGCCAATAGCAATTCGAGTCGAGCCTTTGTCGGCTGACAGACAATTGACGGCATATGCACGCATGGTCGGCTACAGATTTCGATCCGGATCCACACACACACACTGACTATATATATATATATATATATTCGTGATATTGCGCATATTAGCTTTGCACTTGACCAAGCGACTACGTTGAACCACCCAACGAGCACGCCCACCCATCAAGAGATAATTTAATAGCTCCCCATACACACACACACACGCACACACACACACATATCGATCGTGTGAAGCTCGAAATGCTTTTCCGAATTGCGTGTCCGACTGGTCAATTTTCCGAGCTGCCGCAAATGAACAAACGAAACCGCAAATGAGAAACCAAACCAAACATTTGAGCCACTTGGCTGGGCGAGGTAGGGGGTGCGGGGGCGTGTCCATGGCATGTGTGTACCGCGCACATGAATTATTAATTGACAATTGCCGAAAATGTCCATTATCAGGTGGAAGAAGTAACGCAAAAGTAGGCGGAGAATTGGTAAAGGGAAAGGGCAAGGGGAAAGGGAAGTGGACAGGGAAAGGGGCGCGAGGAACGAGGTCAGTCTTAGCTGTATTAGGAAAATTTCAATTTCGTTCTAATGAAAATTGTGTGGCAAATGCTAGTTTCCCGTGCCCCCACTCTGCCACACAGAGACAATCCTCATAATGGGGTTAGTTGGTTACATTTTTTTTTTTTTTGTGTTTTTGGACAAAGTTTTTGGTCTAGGTGCAGGTGTTTCCATTGCGGCCAATTGCAAATTACAACTTCCGTCAACCCTGTCCTGGCCCTGTCACACACACGCACACGCACACACACACATGTGCAACTCTAATGACATTCAGCAATGACAGCATTGAAATTACGCACCACAAATTTTTGTGGAACGCTCGATTGGCCAAAGTCTGATGGCTAATCAGTGGGGACAACTGAAGCAGAACTGAAATCATTTTGCCAAATGGCTTGTCCAATCTATCTGGCTTGCTTAAATAAACCTCGTAGTTGATTCATTATGCATTTGCTTTGTTGTTTCAGCTGGCATTACATAAGATCGACTTGAGGGCATCCAAACAAGCTGAGCACACAGAACCAAAAAGCAGAAGCCGAAGGCAAGCGTTAGCCGGTTTTTTCGTGCTGGCCTAAAGAAAGAGAACCCAACCAGCTAGCGGCTTATACTGACGTGTTCAAAAGTCGTTCAACTCGATCGAGAGAGAGAACCATAGAGTGAGAGAGAGCGTCAAGCCAGGTGAGAGAGCAAGCCGCGTGGCTATAGCAACCAAACACTTCTGTTGACTTCAGCGAAAAGTCGCGAGCTGTGAGCTCTCGCTCTTAACTTTGTTCTTCTGTTTTTGTCAACAGTCGACACACAGCAACACCCAGAGTAGGGTCAAGGTTTTGTTGTGCAAAAAGAAGCAAAAAAACAGAGTACAGAAAAATATGATGAAACTGTTGCTGACGCTGCTGCTGGCAGCTTTGCTGGCTCGGCATACTTTTGCCATCTCGTGCGGCGGCTGCGTGGACTTGGATGAGATCAACTTTGACAAGACCATAGTGCGCTTTCCCTATGCCTTGGTGAAGTTCGACATTGCCTTTCCGTACGGCGAGAAGCACGAGGCCTTTGCGGGATTCTCGATGGCGGCGCATAAGGTAACAGGCGAGCTGCTGGTGGCCACCGTTGGCATCAAGGACTATGGCGAGCAGGAGAATAAGGCGCTGGGCGAACGCTTCAAGCTGAACGACAAGCAATTTCCTGGCATAATTCTCTTCAAGGGCAACGTGGATGAATTCGTGCAATTTCCAGCTCATCTGGATGTGACGGTCGACAATCTGAAATCGTTTGTGAGTAGCAATACACCGCTCTACATTGGCTGCGATGGCTGCCTGAAGCTGTTCAACGACGCCCTGAAGAACTATGCCAACAAGGCGAACGACGAGCAGCTGGCATTGATTAAGGATTTGCAAGCGAAGGCGAAGGAATTGAGCAACAAGTTCGAGGAGCAGCAGAATGCCAAGGTGTATCTGGTCTATATGCATAAAATCAATGAACTCGGCTACACTTTTGTCGAGGAGGAGACAAAACGTTTGCTGCGTCTCAAGGCCGGCAAAGTGACTGCCGCCAAAAAGGTGGAGCTGCAGCAAAAGCTCAACATCCTGGAAGCCTTTCGCGTACACAAGCTAACCAAAGCCGGTCCAGAGAAGGCCAAAGCGGAGCTCTAACCACACAACTAGACAATTATATTCGTAGAGAGACTACCAAAATTCATACTTAATCATAAAATAGGCTCACAATTGTGTACATTAAAACTGAACTGTTACCAAAAAACAAAAGAACAAAAAAGTATTTGTTTTGCTTAACTGTTTTGCCATAGCAACCAGGACAAGGCGCTACACACCTAATCATGGGCATGAAATATTAAAATTTATTACAATTAACATTTAATATTTTCCCACCGTAACTGCAAATAATTTTTTTATTTTGCATCCTAAAAGTATACAATAATTTCTATCATTTTAAATACGCTTAGAAGTATGCAACAGCTGTTTAAACTGCAGAGGGAAATTCCCAAAATAAATAAAAGATATATATAGAGAGAGAGCGCGCGAACGCAATTGTGCAAAGTGCACATTAAAATAAAAAAATTAAACTTAATTAATGTATAATGAACTCTAAGCTTAACAACCCTTATTTCAATTATTATTACAAACAAAAAAAAAACATATTCAACTGTGCTACATTTGCAGGCAATTTAATGTAGCTTGCAATACACTGCAGATATATGTATGAATGTATGGAAGCATGATAAAGCATATGCATGAGTGTGTGTGCGTGTGGTTGCGAGCTTCATCGGGCCGCTCTCTTCGCACTCATGCGACCGATCGCAACAATGGCGAAGCAGAGGCAAAGCAAAAGCGCATTATGGCCGCGTTCGCTTGCAGTTTTTTTCTCTCACTTGGAGCAGCAAGGCCCAAGCTGTGTGTATGTGTGTGTGTGCGTTTGTCTGTTTGTATGTTTGCGTTGTTATCGCTCATTTTCACTTTAATATGAGTTTTTGTTGCTTTTGCTGTTGCTGTTGTTTTCTTTGGAGTTTGCTCTTTTGTGCACGCTGCGCTGCTGGGCAGCCATATTTATTTGTTTTTTTTTTTTTGTTTTGTTGGGGCCCGCAGCAGCAGCAGCAACAAACGCTGCAGTAAAATTGTGTTTTTGTTGTTGCTGTTGTTTTGTTCGTATGCGAAAGTCAATGAACTTTTTCGGTGTTGTCCATGCATTTCAGATGTTGTTATTGCTTTTGTTGTTGTTTTGCGATAAGTGCTCAGCCGGTGTTGGTATTGGTGCATTTGAGCATGAATAAAAAACAGGAAAAAACTAACAAACGAAATAAATTACAAAATTTCCAAGCTTCATAAATGGAACATGCAACGGGTTAATCAACCAGAGTTTTGCTTCAGCTTTCTATTTTCACAGATTTTTCGCGCTTATCGCGCCCAATTGATCCGACAATAAATTAACAGATCCGCAAGAAAACTGCCCGCGGCTTTGCCAATTGTTAGGTCTTATCTAAAACGGGCGACCTTTGACCCGCAGCTCACTCAATTTACAGACAGCTAAAAAAGAATGAGGAAAACTCAATTGGCGCGCACATTCTGCTGGTTTGCAATGAAACGCAAAAAAAAAACAAATAAATAAAAAAGAAAAGGGAAAATCATAACAAGGCAAACAATTTTCACACACTAGACGCAACCGCAGAGCTGCAGAAGAAGCATCTCGGGACACACCTACAAAGGGCATCATGCAAATGTTTGCATTTCCACGCAAGTGCATTACCCCAAAAGACAAACGAGCCGTCTGTCAGTGAGTCAGTCAGCCAGTCAATCGGATGATCAATCGAACCCTTTTCACAACAGGCTCTGGGAAATTGAAAGCGGATCGCCCACGCCGTCAGTCAAGCGAATGGAGTAGGGAAAACCCTTTTCCTCATTATCATGTGCATAATCTTGGCTGCAATTGCATTAGACGTAACTTGAGTGCCGAAAATTGGGAAATATTTTCTGATTGTCGATTCCACAATCGTCGCCTGTTTTGGCCAAGCCAAAGTCATCTTTGGGTTGCGTGTCGCCATCTTTCACATATCATATACACATATAGCCCAGAGCAATATTCAGGTAATATAACGTGGACTACCTGCTGTGAGATTTACGTTTATGCATTTCATTTTCATTGTTCGTTCGCTTTTTCCTCTTCTTCTTTTTTATTTTTTGGCTATAAAACAGGTTCGAGCCATAAATTTATCTCGCGCTGCAGATCGAGAACTCTTCTATGCAGCCCGCCTACTAGTTGACAATCAGAATAAAAAACACGCACACACACACACACACACACATATATATATATAGTATTTGTATCAAATCCTCTTTTGGCGCAGCACTAATCGAAGGGTTCGCCGTCGAGGTCAGGTCAAAGCAAATGCATTAACTGTGTAATCCCAGATATGAAATCTGAGCGAGACGACGTCGCTTGACTTTAGGAAAACATTTTCACGACTCGGCCCCGACGCACTGATGATCGTTTTTTATTATTTTTTGTTTCTTCTCTGGTTTTTTTTGCGTCTGCTGCTGCAGCCTCTTGGCTTGGGGGATCGCTGGGCACAGGTAGCCGCAGCATTTTGAAGCGCTTTGCGCATTAAAATCCAACTTTTTTTGGTTCGTTTAAATGCGTTTTTCTTCGTTTTTTGAAAAATGTTTCATTTTGAGGTTTTTGCTTTCCTCGAACCTTCTTCTGATTGCATTGCCGCGCCTCAAACTCAGACTCGAGCTCGGACTCGCAGTTGCTGTCATGGCTCAATTGCCTGACGCAAAACTAGCTTGCGCGCTGCGGGAAGGGCGCAACGGGGCAACGGGGAGGAGGGGAGTTCAGAGCAGAAAAACTTCGTGGTCGATTGGCGTTTTGGGCCAGCTTGACTTGGTCCACAATGGTCAACGGCCATTGCACCGCGCATGCAGATACTTTTATTAGGTGGAGCTGCAGAGTCAATGACTTGCGTGGCATTTTCTTCAGTTTAGCGCCCTGACTACACGCTCCAGAGACTTCAAATTTTGGGAAAATGCAAAACCTGAACTTCGATGTGAAACTCAAGCACCAGCATCTTTTCATGTGTTTGTTGACAGGACGGCTTCGAGGTGAAAAGGCCTCCGAGTCGCCTGGCGCAAGGGTAGAACATTGTGAACATTTGAGGTCCAGTTGTTGGCCCTCATCGCGCTGATGGCTCATAATTAATGTCGAATAATTGGCAGAAATTTGTTTGCTATTTAATTGTAAGGCTTTCACCAAAACGCAGCATCTGAGGCCGCGTGTCGCTTCCACATTTTCTCAATTACAATTTTCACAATTTCTCAATCAATTTTCTTTTATTGGCCGAGATGCGGGCGCCCCATTTTCGGCTACATTTGCTTAAGCGACGCACTGTAGCTGTAGCTGAATTGCAATTGCAACATTCATCGCCACAGCGGGTCATTGAACTGCCGAAAGCGCCTACGAGTCGAAAATGCAGCGATTGCCACGACGAGGCCTATGGCCCCTGCCATGGCAAATGCTTTTCGTAGCTTTGCACGACTCTCTGGCTCTGGCGTAGCTGAGTCTGGCATTTGAAAGGATCCCATGACTGACTGCAACCTGCATCTTTGGCTGTCATGCTGTGCCGCGTTGATCGCTATCAAAATGCAACTGCATCGATTCCCATTGTCCTGCACAGGATTCGCGGCGTTCCCACAGTTAACACAACGCTGCATTGTCTGCGTATTGATTTTTTCCTATTTCTTTTTTATATCAAAATCAATGATCAACGCCAAACCCAAAAGTCACAGGCGAACAACAACGGCTGCCATGGCCAACAACAACAACAACAACAACAACGACAACCTGCTAGGAATCGCTTAAGGTTAACACATCGCAAACAATGGCCGCGCAAATGGACTCGCCACATACATATGAGGCGGGGGGCAAGGGCAAGCGGGGCGCGTCTCTCGCGGACTTGCAACGAGGGTAGCTGCAAACCAGTTTCCAGTACAGCCTGTACCTGTCGCACCTTAATAGTTGCCTGTTGCTGCTGCTGCTGCTGCTTCGTGCCCTGCCTAATTGTGGAGTTAGAGCTAAACACAGATGCCAGTTGATGATCTCACCCACCTCCGCTGCTCTTCTCGAGATGCTGAGTCAGCGACCAAGTGGCAATTCTCTCAAGTTGCAAGATCGCGCAATGGAAATGGAAATGGAAAATGGAAATTGAAATGGATGGGACAGCAAATGCGATTGCGCAGGTGCCGATCACAAACGCAAACACCAATGCAGTGAGAGTATGCACAACTGGCAGTTACCCTATGATATTTTCTGCGAATGACAAATGAAAAGGAGATATACACTCGCTAGCATAGGATATATAGTTATAGTTATATATATCCCTCCTCAAATATGACTGCAATGATTTTATGCATGCATGCAATTCAGATACCCTCTATTATATATATATATATATCTATGTATATATCATGCAAGTACTCGCCAAGTATATGTATTGGGTATCTGTAATTAATTATTAAATTATATTTATTATTGAATTTTATTAATCTTTTACTATACTAAAAAATAATTATTTAATTTTTTATTATATATAAAATAAATTATTTATATAAAATATGTGTAAATTAAATTTTAAAAAATATATTTATATTTATATATACATATTTTGCTTTAATTTAAATTTATTTATAAATATTTGTATTCATAATAAATAAATTTATTTATAAATATTTGTATTTATAATAAATAAATTTATTTTTACATTATTGAAAATTCTCAAATTTCAATTATTATTTTTAAAAATTTATTTTAATTTATTTTATTATTATATTAATATGAATTAACTACTGAAATTGTATAATTAAAGAACAAAAAATATAAGTTTATTTATTAGCTATTACTTTTCATATTATAGTTTAAAAATTAACTACATTTTTTATATTTGTCATAACAGTCATTTACACTAATATTAGGCATAAATTAAATTTTAAAAAATATATTTATATTTATATATACATATTTTGCTTTAATTTAAATTTATTTATAAATATTTGTATTCATAATAAATAAATTTATTTATAAATATTTGTATTTATAATAAATAAATTTATTTTTACATTATTGAAAATTCTCAAATTTCAATTATTATTTTTAAAAATTTATTTTAATTTATTTTATTATTATATTAATATGAATTAACTACTGAAATTGTATAATTAAAGAACAAAAAATATAAGTTTATTTATTAGCTATTACTTTTCATATTATAGTTTAAAAATTAACTACATTTTTTATATTTGTCATAACAGTCATTTACACTAATATTAGGCATTATGTTTCAGTTTAAGAAATTCAAATTTAAAACTTTTACACACATAATATACACAGGCAATATATCCCCCTTTTCATGACATGTGCAGGGTATCTGTAAAAGTCACATACTTACTCAACTCGCTAACAACAACAAAAGGCACAAAGTCAAAGAAGAATAACAGTGGCCAAAAAAGAACGCAAAAGAAAACACATGCATTCACACGCACACACACGCACGCACATAAAGAGCGATAGAGATAGAGTGAGAGGGGAAGAGTGGCAGACAAAGGACGCAGCGGCCAGTGCACAAACTCATTTTCAACTATAAAATTTATTCGCATTAATCGCCGTCAAAGATAAAATAAGGAAAGAAAAAGACTTGGCAGGGCAGGGATCAGGGTCAGGGACGAGACGGGACGAGTCGAGGCACTGCTAGCCAGGGGTCGGCATGATAAGGCAACATTGACACCTTTAGCCGGGACCCCGAAACTACCTGCCACTGCCAATACGTTGCTGGCATTTCTGATTGCGCCAGGCACTATCTAATTGTAAAAAAGCAGACGCTCCTCGGCCAGGATCTCTCGTTGTGCGCAGCAAATTTTCGCAGGACTGTACACTTGTCAGCGACTATGCATACATATATAAATATATACATACATTCATTTATATTTAAAATTTGGTGGACTATTTTAGCTTGTCCCACAAGCAATGCGTGGGCGTGGGGCGGGGGCGTGGCAACCACTAGCTAAGTGGAGTGAAGCGAATGCGTGTGTAATTAAGTGTCGCAAAAAGACGCAGCAAGAAAATTTGTGCTGGGCGCAAACATGTGAAGGTAATCAGAGTCGAATGGAGGTCTAAGTGTGCGTGTGCATGTGTGTGTGTGTGTGTGTGTGTAAATAGGAAAAGCATGTTGTGTGTGTTTTGGGCGCCATGGTCGACTAGCAGAATGGATGTCCCATGCCAAGGCTGAGGGTGATAAAAATGTTTCATGTAAATTGCAAAAAACAGTTTTTATGTCCCATTGCTGAGTGGCAGCAGGCGGGGCAGCAGCCAGTCAGCCAGGCAGGCAGGCGGGCAGGCGGCTGCGTGTGAAGTGGTGCAAAATATTAGACAAGGGCGGTTGGAGCTCACTGGAGGATGAGGACGGCGATGGCGATGGCGATGGCGATGGCGATGTCGATGTAGATGAGCTTCAGATGAGGCCTGAGCATCAGTGGGTGGCTGGCTGCTTTGAAGTGTCGCCATTGTTGCTCGTAGTTTGCTTTCTATTTATAGAGTTTGTTGTTTCTTCCTTTTTTTTTGCCCAGGCGAATATTTAATGCGTGCACATTACACAACACTGGCGGCCGCTGGAGGCAGCACCAGCAGCAGCAGCAGCAGCAGCAGCAGCCGCAGCAGCAGCTGTTGCGCAACACTACACAGCAAGTATGGCCATTGCTGTCAAAAATTATATATATATCACGATATATTTGAGGAATTTATCAAATGGGTAGAAATCAATCGGATGTTGTAGCATCTGGAGAGACTATTGAGACCTGTAGCATCGTTGTCTTCCTTGTCTCCATAACAGGCTTTCCGGACACCGTTAGCGTATTATGGTAAGTTGCGAACGACAATGAAATGAAACTCGTGCGAACAAATTTCCCAAATTGAAAAACAAATTTGTACAATCCTTGCACTTTCCGAAGGCGCTTCTGATAAAACTGAAAATACCAAATCGCGTGCAGCCAGATGTGTTCCCGTTGCCCGGCTCGATTGGCACCTACACGAACAAAATGCACTACATGAGGAAGCATCTGCTCGACGAGCTGCCCACCAAGCTGTTCGCTCTCGACTTCATGCAGCCCGTCGACTCGGAGGCTCTACAGGTGCCCACCTACTACACAATCATACAGCGGCCCATGGACGTGGGCACGATTATGAAGCGCGTGCAGAATCTCTATTATCACAGTGTCGACGAGCTGATCACCGACTTTCGGCTGGTCTTAAGCAACTGCTATACATTCAACCGACCCGACGATATGGTCTATCGCAATGGCCAGAAGCTGGAAAAGTTCTTTCTGCGGGTTCTCAAGAAGCTGCCCGAGGGCCTGGAGTTGCCCTGCAACCGAGATCCCCGAGCGCCCTGCAGTCCGCGTAACAACGAGAAGGCTACAGCATTCACGGAGCGCAAGTGCCGCGAGCAGCTGAAGAAGCTGCAAACGTCCAATACGGAGCACACAGACGCCGATGCTCGCGACTTCTTCAAGGAGAAGCTGAGCGCAGTGTCGAAGAAGCTGAGCAAACACCATTTCAAGACGCTCGAAGATTTCCACTCGCATTTGGACGTTATGTTCTTGCAGTCGCGCAACCAGGCCAAGAGAATATTCGAAACGACATACAATGAGTCCCTGGACAGCATATCGTACCACATGCAGAACAAGGAGCTGAGCCAACTCTTCTATGCCCTGCAGAAGAACGAGAACGGCGTGCGAATAGAGCAAAAGAAGCACTCCAGATGGGAGGATAGTCTGGTGGATTGTCTCGATGCCACGGTCGAAAGACTCGGTGGTAAGCTGGACGCTTGTCGCCTGGACGACGAGGAGGAGGAGGAGGAGTACATGAGGGAAGAGCAAATGCTGGCGGCCGAGCGCGAAGAGGAGCGGGCCAGCAGCAAAAGCTATTCACCTGTTGGCAAGGACACAGATGAGCACACGGACTACGTGAGCGAGGGCGAACGTCGCGCCATTCAGCAGCAGTTCGTGATGCTGCCGCTCAGCTCGAAGATCGAAATAATGCACATCATTGCACAAACTGAGGATATATCGACGGACAACTGCGATCTGCAGTGGTTCGATATCAAGAACTTTGGCGCCGAAACCTTGAACCTGATGAAGAAGGCAATGCATCCGCACACCAAACTCAATCTGCGCAACATGAAGCCCGCCGAGAAGGAGGACCTGCAGCGCAGCCTCGAGACCCGCCTGCAGAACATCAACCAAGCACTCAATGGCAATCGACGCAAGTACACACATCGAATGCGCATTCGCTCCGCTGTGCCGGCCAAGAAGAGGGCACGCTACTCTGGCCCCTCGTCCAACAAGAACTGCAGCGGCAGCGGCAGCGGCAGCTCCACGAGCCTGACGCAGCAACAGCAGCAGCATCAGCAACGCCAGCTGCTAACAGGTGTTGGCGCAGCCAAATCGGGACAATCGCCGGAAAGCAGCAGCGAAAGCGACTCCAGCAGCAACTCCGATTCGAGCAGCAACAGCGACTCCAGCGACAGCAGCGACTCCTCCAGCGATACCGACGAGCCCAACAATAAGGGCCCGTCCTGAACACACATTTGCATTCTAATTGAAATAAATTTTTAAAGATTCGACGTGCAGAGCTATTGACACTTCTTTTTTTTTTTCTTTTTGCAACTGGGAAAACTCTGCCAAGCGCATCTCTGCATCTCTGCATCTCTTGATCTGCATCTGTGCAGCTCAGCGCTCTATACAGAGATCACGTAGTCGAGCGAATTTTCACGAAAAATTATGCAAATGCCTGGCAGTTTCTCACGATGCGTAGAGCGCTACCTACCTGACACCTAGGCTAGGAAATTGGAGCGACAACGATGATCGAGGTTTTCCAAGCCAACTGAGCACAAAATTTGCATAAACTGCAGAGATTTTCGCCTTGGCGAAAAGGAAAAAGGGTTGCCAATGGGCGAAGATCCTAATTTGCATATGCGAAATGCTAAACGCAAAACGAAAGTGAAATGAGGAAAATCGAGGAAAACACAAGAAGAAGACAGGCTGAAGACAATCGACGAGCAGCAGGGGTTAATTATGCGCACAGTGGCCGGCGCTAGGACCGGATCTGACAGCATGCTGGCACGCTCGCACATCCCAGTGCTGGCAGGGGGTTGAACAGGGACAACAACAGCGCTGATTTGCATACGATCGTAAATGGAATTCGAAATAGCAATGCGTCTCGCCAGTCTGGCCAGGCAAAATTATGTAAATGATGCTTGCAAAAACATTGAGAAAACTTTCTCACGCTCTCAACTCCTTGGCTCACTCAGGCCAGGCCGCGTCCTTTGCTCACTTTGTTCGGGTATTACCTTAGAGGCTTCATCTGTTTGGGTTACGTCGCAACGGGCAACAAATCAATTTTGATCGATATTCATTTAGCTCTCGATTGATTTGCTCAATTTGCATAATTTTGCTACTCGACCTTAAGAAGAGGCGAATAATATGCAAATTCTGAATGGCTATTCAAAGGAGCTCGTTTCTTACCTGATGCGCCTGAGCTTAAGTAGGAAAAATAGGCTTATCTGACAGTAGCTCAGCTTGCTCTTCTTCTTAAGCTTAGCTTTATTATTTTTTAATCAATTTTTTAACTAATTCTCGCCATTTTCTTTTGAAAATCTGCACTTTTTGACTTCAGCTTTGCTCCTCCCATTACAACCACTCGTTGCCACAACCACCAAAGCGAAAACTTGCAAAATCGCCAATTGCATTTGCCAAAACGCCGATCGAACCTTCATCAAGGCAATAAAATTGCAAACGTCAGCCAATGCGCAACGCGGCGGCGACAGGGGGCAACACAGGAACAGCAATGGGCATGGAAAACAGGAACAGGAACAGGAACTAGAAATTGGCTGAGGTGAGCAACCACCGTTATAGACTCTAGATGCACAGACCTAACCACCCGGGCGAATTGAAAGTATGAACTTTGATGCATGTTGTTGTTGTTGTTGTTGTTGCTGCTGCTGCTGCTGCCGGCTTCGTTTTGGGCAAAACCATAAAAAAATCCGCAAAACGAGGGTTGTGTCTCGTAAAGTACTTATCGAAAACACCCCAAATACACTCGCCGTCACACCCTGCCTCACCCCTCGCACTCGGCAAAGACATTATTACGCATAAATGTGGAGTACGTTGCGTGTGGCATGTACACACACACACACACACGCATACATATACGTTTCTCTGTATCTAGTAATTTCGCAGCAGCAGCAGCAGCATGCAAATTTTTTATTTTCCTTCTACCCCTGCTCCGTTTGTCCGAGGGGTTGAAGCGCAAAAGCGAAGCCAAAGCTTAGCTGCAACAGAGGCCGTAAAAGTCGTGGCTGTTGTGCCACACCACCCCCCAGTTTGCATTCCGCGCCTTGTTTCATACCCGTTCACAATGTGCAAGGCGAGTATATTGGCTTTGTGCAAAGTCCGACTGTCCGCATGCACTTAAAACACGTGGCTTGTAGCTAGCAGCAGGTAATACGGAATTTAAATTAGAGATGGGTATATAAAGATAGATATAGATAAAGATAGATACACCATCTAAATATTTATCATTTATATCTTTATCTTTTTATCATACACTTCCATTGAGCCGTGGCAAAAGGACATCCATATTTAGTTAATTAGCCAGTTAGGGATGGACTTCAACGGTCAATGAACTTAGATAAAAGCAAATTGAGTGTTTTTTTTTTTGGCATGCGAGCGAGTATTTTGCAGTCGGTTCAGCTTTACATTTTACTTGTTTTTGTACTGCTTGTTGTTGTTTATGCTTAGTACGAGTCGCATATATGTATGTGTATTTGTTTTTTACTAAGGACTTGCAAGCTGTTACGTTTATATTGCTTATCGCATAGATTCCTTATCGCATGAGCCAGATAAATATAGAATATGATCATAAATATTTGTTTAAGCCAGATTAGATAGCCTTTTAAGTGCATAACTGATCTATAAATCATGCCAACGACAAAGGACTAAAGATGTGGTGGTTGATCAATATCTATGATATATCTACCATAAAAACACAGGACAATATTATATAAAAAAAACATTAAAAACACATGCAACATTCAAGACTCGCTGAAAAGTCGAGTGAGCAGTGGAGATTCTGTGCTAGAACGTTGCATATTTGACATCAAATAAAGTAGAGATATGACATCATTTGCAACATGCAACATTGCACAGCTCTGTAAAGTGACAAGCAGACAAACATACACAGCTATTTGTATCATTTATGCTGTCGATATCATCAAACAAAACAGATCAACTTTATATTATCTAAAGCTCCCTCTTTCAAGTACGTGCAACTGCTCTTAAATTACACAAAGGACAAACATTCGATGTCATTTCTGTCATGTGTTTGTGTTTTATATAACTAGTCTCATATTTGGCATAAATTAGACGCCATCGTTGGCGACCCGTATGCAGCGCAGGACATCTCATCAAATAAGGGCTAGAGATAGTGTGAGAGTGGATGGGGGCAGGGGACGGGGGCGCTGGCGAGGGATAGGTTACGGTTTGGGTATTTTTTACGCGACAGCGGCACCACCATAAACAACGCAACAACAACAAAAAAGAAACAACAACAGCCAAAAATGAAATGAAAACGCGCACTCGTCGTGCTTCACACGCGCAAGGATCTCGAAAAGGATCCAATTACAATAGATAGCCTAGCAGTTTTTTTTCCTATTTTTGTGACTTGAAATATGTTTGAATTGTCGCATTTCTGTGTGCTATTCTCTGCCATGCCCAAGGATCTTTTGTCTTTTGTCTTGGCTTGTACGTGTGTCAGACGGTTTGCTTTGTCCTTGTGCCTCGGCCTCGACCTCGGCCTCAACGCGATGTCCTTTCACTTTCATTTTCGGGCTTCCTTTATTTGCAGGATCGCCGTATGCTGGACGTGTGTCAGTCTGCAGATCTCTCATGACGGTCATTGTTGTGACTTGTTGACCTTTGTGGTTAAATTAGGCACAGTCAATAAGACATATTGTGAGTGCATACTGGCTGGCAATTATGCAATCGTTTCCTAATTTGAATGCCCCTCACACATTTTTTTTTTGGGCGGCGTGCACACAAATCGCAGCACCAGCACAGAACTTCAGTTTGTGTTGACGTAGGGCCGCCATTGCGCCACATGAGGCATAAACGAGCAGCTACGCACACACAAGCACCCACAGATATGCATACAAATATACTCACATGTATGCTATTTTGTAGAGTTAATGAACTCAACAACTGAACTGGTAATAGATGCAATAATTAGACAAGAGAGAACTAATAAAATTCTAAAAAAAATTTATTTAATTAATTGACATTAAATTGCACTTAAAAACTAAATTAGATATTGGTAAAATATCACGAAGCTAGTGCATAGAACTGATCTAGTTCACTAGCCAATCAAAATGAACTAGAGTTCTGCATACTTCAATTATTTGCATATTTACCAATTACCTTTTCCTATGCGTTGCTCCAAAGCAAAGATGGCGTCACTGATCAAGTAAAAATAAAAAAATACATATATAAAACGCAGCACTGCGCCCACGTCCCATGCTGGCGCACTGACGCTCTCTCTCGCTCTCGCTTTTGCGCTCGCTCTCACACAACATTGGCATTTTCTTTTACTTTTACACAATTTGTTTTCGTTCTTCGTTTTGTTGACATTTCCAAAAATGTATTATCTTTGTTGCTTTTGCTGCTGCTGCCGCTGCTTCTGCTGTTGTTGTTGTTGTTGTTTGCTTGATTGGCGTTCGCGTCTGTTTTCTTCGTCTTCGTCTTCGTCAATGCTTATACGAGGTTATTTGTTAGTGTGTGTGTGTGTGCGTAAGTATTGTGTGTTCATGCTGCTTTGCTGTGCACATTGCACTCAAATCGCCGTTTTTGCTGCCTCTGCCGTAGTCGCTGACGCGGCTGCAGTCAATTGCGTGGTTAATGCTAATTATTTGTTATTCTACAGTCGCAGCGCTGCTGCTGCTGGTGTTGTTGTTGTTGTTGCCGCATTTCCAAAATGTAGAAAAACATAGACGAACACAATTTGGAAGACACGCACAGGAGACCCGAACGTGCAATTGCTAGCGATTTCCGGCTACACCAACGACTGAGCAGCGACTGTACCACAGCTACATACACACAAACATGTGCATACATATGTATGCAACACACAATATTTACAATCATAAATGCAAAATAAACAGTCTTCTTATAGACCTTATAGACACATGGATGTACATATTTCACTAAAAAAACAGTTCCAGCAACAGTTATGCTATATATACCAAGACCAGCTACTCCATGGGTTCCATTTATTACACACAAACATTATAACGCACTTTTTTGATCTCTTTTATAAAATGTTCATTAATTTTCACTATAAAGAATTAAAAAACAAAAACAAATGAGCTGAATTGAATATGCATACTCAATTAGAGAGAGCGAGATGCAACTAGTAAGCGAGCTTTAGTTCTTGCTTTGCTCTGTTTTTGCATTTGCATTCGCTTTACGTTTGCCAAGGGAAATAAATAGTATTTGCTCTGTTATTGAAATGGTCAAAGAGTAACAGAGATAGAAAGCGAAACTTTAGTCAATG